TAATATGCTTGCTTCTTTTTAAGCAATAATTAATAATATCTTATAAAAATACTTTAATTATTTTATAATAAGTTACTTAAATAATATTTTAATCTTTTTAAATAATATAAGCAATATATATATTAAGTCCTTTAAATTTTTTAAAACGTTAAACTTTTAATAAAATTAAAAAAAAATTACTTTTATATATAAAAAGTTAACTTTCTTAAATATATAATTTAATTAAAAGAAATTTAAATATAAGCATTTAAGGTTGCAGCAATTTAAGATTAATTAATATTAATTAATATTAAAGAAATTAAAGGCTTTTAAGGTTATATTAACTTTTATTAATAATATATTAAGAATTATAAAGAATTATTTATATTATTAACTAACCTTATTAAAAAGAATTAAGCCTTTAAATAAGGAAAAGAAAAGTAAAATATATTTAATAAGATTAAGAATAAAGTTCTTTTAAAGCTAATGCTTAAAGAAGTAAACCTTAAGAAAAAATATAAAATAAGCATTAATGCCTTAAACTTCGCTATTAAAGAAAAATTAAAATAATATAATAAGTAAAGCTAATTTTACTTTATTATATTTTTCTTTAAAAAATTTAATAAACTTAAGCTTAATTACTTAATTTATAATAAAAAACTTATAATAATTATTAAAGTATTTTAAAAATAAAAATATTATTTAATTAAGGTTAAATATTAAATATAAGTATTTATTAATTATAAAAATTTAATTTACTTTATAATTATAAAGAAATTTAATAAAAGATAAATTAAATAATTAAAATATTTATTATAATTTAATATTAAAATTATTTATTAAAAGAAATTTAAAAATGAAAGAGTAAATGCTTTTAATAAATAATTAAATTATTAATAAAAAGCATTACTTAAAATATATATAATATTATATAAAAACTTAAATAAAAACTTAAGTATAAGTTACTTAAAAAAGCAATTTATTATAAATTAAGGAAATAATAATACTTTTATTAAATAAATTATAGCAGCTTATAAAGTATAATTTATTTTAAATTAACTTAATTAGGCTAAGCAAAATTATAAAGATATCCCGAATAATAAAAAAAATAGCTTTAAAATATTAATAAAACCTTATTTTATAAGGAAAAATATTACTTACTTATAGCTCTTTAAAAGGAAGTTATTAAAGAACTTTATAAGGCATTAATATATAATTACTAAGGTATTAAGGCTACTTACTTAAGATTAAAATAATATTAAAACTTCCTTAATGCAAAATATAAAGTTGCTTAAGTTATTAATAAATGCAATCTTTATAATAAAAGCAAGCTTATTAAATATAAGTTATATAAATTATTATAGCTATTATTAACGTTAAATAAGCTATGAAAATTAATTAGCTTAAACTTTATTATTAAGCTTTCCTTATTTAAGGAATTAATAATAGGAATTAATTATAATAATATCTTAATTATAATAAATAAATTTATAAAGTATATATATTTTATACCTTATAAGAAATTTAATATAATAAAAAAACTTACTTATACATTTCTTAAAATAATTATTAGCTAATATAAGCTATTAAATAAAATTATATTTAATTAAAACAAATTATTTATATTAAACTTTTAATCTTTTTTAATAAAATAATTAAAAGCTAAGCATAAACTCTTAATAATAATATATTTATAAATAAATAAATAAATAAAATAACTTAATTAAATATTAAAACAATATATACGTTATTATATTAATTATTAATAAAATAATTAAATATTATTGCTATTATTAATATAATTTACATATAATAATATAAATATATATATTATTAATATTTTATTATTTTACGCTAATTATAAATTTAACCTAAACATTTATTAATACTTAATTTTTAATATAAAAGCATTATAAGCTATTAATAATATAAAATAAATTAAAAACATTTATAAAAAAATTATAGTAAACTTAAAGTTTATTTAAAAATATATAGCAAAATAGGTAAATTAATAAAAGTTAAAGGAATTAACTTTTAAAAAAAATATAATTTACTTACTTTATAAAAAATAAATTAAAATTAAGCAACTTAATAATAAACTTAACTTTAAAAAAATTAAACTATTTAAAATTAAAAAAAGAATATTAAAAATAAACTATAAACTTACATTACTTAAGGAGATAAAAATTTATTTAATTTTTTATATATTAATGCTAAAATTAACATTAATTAATGCAATATTAACTATTAATATTAAGCTTAATAATTATAAATTAAAATATAAAGTAAAATGCATTTTAAATTATAAGATATATAAGAAAATAATAAAATATTTAATTAAATAAGAAGGATATAAAAATAAAAATAATTTATAAAAACTTATTAAAAACTTAGTAAATTACCAGCAGGTACTTTAAAAATATTATTAAGAAAAATAAATTAATTCATATTAGCATTAATTATTATAATACCTTAATTAATAATGTTAAGCAAACCTAAGAATTAAGACTTTAAAATAATAAAGCTTTTAACTTTATAAGCAAAACCTTATAACTTAAGCTTTAAACATTCTTACTTATTTAACTTATTAAGAGATTTTAAATTAATATTAATTATCTTTATATTATACTTTATTAATAACTTACATTATATTTAAAAGCACTTTAAATAAAATAAAGATTTAAAAATCTTAATATAAATATAATTAAAAACCTTTAATGCATAATAATATATATCTTTTAATTTATCTTTAGCTTTACGCTCCTTAACTTAAAGTTTCTTATCTTTCATTATAATATAGGAAATTATATATATTAGCTTAAAAATAAGGAAACTTAAAAAAACTTAAAATTTATAAGCTAAAATTAAAACTTTATAATTATTATAAAAGCACCCTTAATAAATATATTAAGAACATTACTTTACGTTATTTATTATGCAGCATAATAGCCCTTTTAATAAATAAAAAATATATAATATAATTTTAAAGCCAAACTATTTAATTAAAGCCAATAATTAAAAGCATTAATTGCGCTTTTTAAAATAAAGCTTTTTAATATAAAAAGATATAATTAATAAAAAAAAAACGGAAATAATGAGAAAAATATAAATAAGAAAAGAACTTATTAAAAAAGCTTTTTAAGAATAAAAAAGCAATAAAAAGAGGGAATAATATTATAAACATAATAATAATAAAACTAAGGTAAAACCATTAATCCCTTAAAGGCGCAAATAAACCCCATAAGCTAGCGGGATAAGCCTATAAAAAGGGGCATAATTTAAAAGAGTTATATAACTTAAATCATACAATAATTAAGGCCTTTAAATTACTTAAAGTAAGCTAAGTAAGTAAAGTAAGCAATAAGCTAGGTAAGCTAAGTAAGCAAGCCTTATTAATAAGCTAAAGAAATAAATTATATAAATTATATTTATTATTAATAAATAATATTAACTTAAGATAGCTTTTTAATAATTAATTTAAGTATTTACCTTAAATAACTATAAAGTTTTTAATTCATTATTATTATATATTGCTTAAAACATTACTACCTTAAACATTCCTTAAATATAAACCTGCTTACTAGGTTTATTAGCTAGGAATTAGTTATAATCATTATAATAATTAAATGGCTAAGTAAAGAGCGATATTTAATTTATAATTAAATTATAATATTCTTTATTTTTTATTATATAGCTGCCCTTTAAAGCTTATTATAAAGACTTGGAAAAGAAGGATATATTATAGTTTAAGCTTTACTTATTATAATTAATTAGCGAGCTTTAGCCTTATAAGAATAGGCTTTAATATAAGTATAAATGAAGAGCGGATTTCTTTCTTTATACTTTAAATATAAACCTTATTTAAGCACCTTACGGCAAATAACTCAAGGCTAGCCTATAATATTAATTAATAATAATTAATTATAATAATTAATTTATTATTATGCTTTAAAATTAAAGTAATTTAAAAGCTGCATTATTATTATAATATTATATTAATTAATTTTAATAAGGAATTAATTAATTTAATGTAACATTAATATAAGGTTGTTATATTATATTTAATAATAATAAAGGCTATATAAGGCTCTAGTGGTTATAGCTATAAAAGGTATTATAGGGTGGTATGGTGACGTTAAAGGTTATGTGATGTGCTTAGTTATCATAATGTGTTTGTATACCCTCCGATTTAGTCTGTGCGAATCTCCGTATTCTTCTTTATTAAGCTTCATCGACGGGGAGTCCAGTACTTATCCGGGGGTTACCGCCCCCACCCCCCCCATGTCTAGATACCCCGAAGTCTACTCTGACACACCATCACTCGCTCCCCTTCTTGGACCAGCCATATGTGTGGTTGTTGTCTTATCTTGGCGTGGCCTTCTGATCCGCTCCGCAATACGTCTCCCTCATGACGGGGAAGCGGCATATCCAAGCTCGAACTGTTGGTATCAGCCACGTTGTGGTCGTCCAATACTTACATATCTCAACCATCCCCAATTTACGGTCTTTTCTTCCATCGCCTGACTAGCTGGGTGGGGCTGATTATCCGGACCGGTAGTTTTTCCCTGCTAGTAGAATTATCATGGAACATGCGGGCTTCGAGAGATCACAGATACTACTTGACTTTGCACGACCTACATAAAAATCACGGAGACTTCGCCCGAACCGGTAAGAGTGCTTCACTTACAGTTACATGAGATTTTCGTCTCAGGTCCGCGTATGTTGACTGGCTCAATCACGGGCGTCTTTCCTGCTAACACTGCCTGTGGTACTACACCGGTGGAGCGCGACACGGTGGTGCAGGCATGGAATCCCTCACTGAGGGTCGCCTTGGCTCCAGCATAGTTCCCATTTCCGGTGGAACATCGAGAAGCAAACCGGTGTGACCTAGGTCTAAAATAGTGTGCGTTGGCCGTGCAAGCACCAGTGTAAAAAGCACCTGCGTCGTATCGAAGCAACTGAGTTCAAATGTGTCCTTGCCTGACTTATGGAGGGGCTGCGCCGCAAGATACAACGGCAACATGCAGTGCTACCTCCGTGTAACGATTCCGCCACATGAGCAGCACGTAGTGGAGTGCAGATGAAGACTGTGGTCAGGGGCATTGAGGCATCCTGGTCGAGAAAAACTAACCATGTGAACTCTAGCGCCGTCTGCAGGTGGGCTGTTGGTTGAGTGTGTTGGTTTCATCTGTTGGATATTCCTGCATGCCAGCACTAGTAAATAAAAGGACTAAAGACAGACGAATCCTTCGTCGTGATAAGTATGTCACTTCAATACTTGACCAGGTGCTCATGTCGCATCCTTCTCGCACGTCGTGCCCGGCTACGTCTTCGGCTGCAACGAGCTAGCCCTCGACGCCGGAATGATGCAGACGCAGAACAGCTCCAACAACTTCCTGATGGTCGGCCTGCTGGGCGGCGAGCTGCCGTTCCCCATCCACGGCGGCTTCGCCCACATCGACGACGTGGCCGAGTTCCACCTGCGCGTGGCCCTCGAGGAGGCGTACGCTGGCAAGGATATTGGTATTGCGACAAAGGTAGACTACGCTTCTATCTTTGACCAGATCAAGGACAGATTCCCCGGGGCTGTGAAGGAAGGGATCTTCAATAAGGGAACGGTCCCTACGCTCCCCATGGAGTACGACTCGAGTGATGCGAAGGGTTTGCTGGGCGAGCTGAAGAGCTTTGAGACTGCCGTGTCTGCTGTTGCCACTCAATACCTCGAGCTGCTGGAGAAAAGGCAGTGATATGTACTTGATGCAACTCCGATTGCAAAGTGACAGCGCCGAAGTGTTGTTGACCAGGAGTGATTCCGTCGAAGATCGGCGTGCAGGGCTTTAGATCATGTATTGACGTTAGGCAATACTCGAGCCCAAGGTTAGCTTGAAACCCCCCCCCCCTTCCCCCCCCCAAAAAACACATCATTTTATCCAATTCTCCCCGGACCGCTTCCATGTACTCGTACACGGGCAGTTCTCTGAATTGTTTGCTCAAGTTGAGTTTGCCCGTATGTAAGCCTTTCTGCCTAGGTATGCATGCGGGTAATGTGCGTGTTCAGGCTTGATGGATTACCGCTCTTGCCAGAGCCTTGGTCGACGACATTTGGCGCTGAGTACCTGCATGTGCGTAGTGGCACGATGCTGTATCCGTAGACAACATCAAGAGAGATCGACTAGCTGATTCTGCCCGGCTTTCAGGGCTGGTCTAGGACTGCTATTTGATGCACGTCTCCAAAAGGGGGCTATTAATCGCCGAATGTCGTCAAGGGGCGGGCTTAGTATAGCAACAGAACACCTCGTTAAGACCATAGCCGGGAGGCACTACATACTTTATTGGTTTCTTCCGTCCTGACTATGTTTGTTAGCAAGCTGTGCTAATCAGGTTCTCCAGCGACTTCAAACCTGCCATTAGTCAGCCGAGTTCTGTGTCCCGACTCTCTCGACTTGCCATGATCCCCCCCCCCCACCGCGGCCTACCCGTTAATCGGGGATTCCTGGAAAACAGCGGTGCATATAAGCGTGTCTGCCCCTTTTTTCTTCTGGCACAGCATCTGGAATCTGAAAGAAGCCACAATTCGGGTGCAGCATGATGACGAGTCGCTGCTCGTGCTTGCTTCCGCCACGTCAAAAAACAACAAGTTCTGACAACCCAGTGTGTCCGTACCAAAGCCACCCGGGAGAGGTCCAGACTCTTCTGGAACAATCTGAACTGGCTTCTTTGTGGGAATTTACGAAGGGAGTTGAAAGATGGACAGCAGAGTCTAAGCCACGGGCTTCAGTTGATCTGCCCCTGAAGACCCATTGGGCTGTCACATATGAGATAGCAGCGCCTTTGTCCTGACCGTTCCTCATTCAAAACTATTCTCTTGCGCCTTTAGCTTGTTCGAAAAATCCTAGCGATTATCCTGGTGCGAATTGCATGGAAAGAGACCCGGGCCCCGTTTGCTGCTGTTTGCTCGCGCCCTGACTGTTGCCCGGACGTTCGTCTCAGAGTGGCATCACTACTTTTTCGTTGGCTATACAGCAAGGTATTAGTAGTGCGCATAGTGTGGCATTTTCGCCACACATTCGAGATTTTTATAAATACTCTATTCCTCCTTGCACATCTGGTTGGACCTCCAGCTTAACCTCAACCCCACAGCTATACGCATCAAGCATGCATCCTTTGTTTCTGGGTCCATCTTCACAACTCGAACAAGGCCAACAACCAACTCAGCCAACTTGGATCGATCTACCGTGTGCCTGACAGCCATCCGCTCTGATGACGGCACCAGGGAAGAAGATGGCGGGGATGATCCCAAGGCCTCGACGCACGGGAAGGCCATGCAGGACTAAGATTACTGAGAGAATGTCAAAAGATGCGCGTCTAGTGGATTCAATGACGGGAAGGATGTCAAAGCTCGCTCTCACAGAGAACCAGCGCCAAAACTCCCACAGAGGTGGTGCAGGAGCCATTCTGCCCGACCAAAACCAGGTCAGTACTGACCCGACTTGGAAGACGGGCCAAATTCGAGCTTTGCAGGGTGGCCGACCAAAACATGCGCCAAGTAACACTGAAGAGCCGGTCAGGCAATACGGGAAAGAAAGCTGACAAATGGATGGAATGACAGAGGCTCGTGCTGAGGGCAATCCTGGGAAATATCGATGTCAGTGTGAAGAGCAGGCGCTACCTTCGCGAGCAAGCCCGGCGCATACTCCGGTTCCTGAGTCTAAGGACCAGTTGGTTGAACCGCAGAGTTCATATATAGTACTCACCGTTGTCTTCTCTTCTCTTCCTTTCTTCACAGGCGCACAGTTGGCCGTGTCGTAGAAGCAACCCCGAGGTCCAGTGGAGTCCGTGGGGCTTGTTTGGTTAAGCATCAGATGTTGCGTGGACACGGAATCGTTCTATTCGGAGGACTGCATTTGGAACAGGAGCCAGGGGTCATAAAATCGGAGTGCAAAATTGATAGTTCATACACTTCTACCTAGCATTCTAGCTGCTGCATCTGAGAAATACATAGACAATATGTTGGACCATCTTGATGTTCCACACAGCGGTCCACTGGTGACCTTAACACACAGCAACTATGCGCCACATGTTAACAAGCTATCGAGTACCTCTTGTGGGGATACTGTTTGTAGAGGAATAATTAGAACTTGATGGTGAGCTGCCACTCATGCTCAGAACCACCAACAAAAGCACACCAGGTGTCGTTCTCCCTGCTCCCAAGACTGGCCACCAAGGTTCGCCACCAATGTGAGAAGCTACTCACGGACCCTTGTAGGCCACACATACTCATTGACGCCATCACTGCTGTAGCTGTTGTTGAAGAAGCTGCTGTATCTGCTGCAACACCTCGACGCTAAGAGTCACGTTCTTCGACACGATATCCTCGAGGCCGTTGGTTGTGGCAACGTCCGGGTTGGGGTAATACCAAGACGCGATCGCAACGACAACGTAAACCACCTGTGTGACATTAGGCCCCTTCCCATGGACAGCCAAACCAGTAGGACCAAAAACTTACCACGAGAAGTGCTCCCTCGAGCCAATTGCTCTCCCCGTCCCGCAGGAAGTTGCCAACCGCCAGTATCGACAGCACGAGCAGGGCTATCATGAATATCTCAAAGTTGAGGTCCATGGGCTTGCCAAGGGCCCATCCGATGAGGACCACCAAAGGACCATTGAAAAGTGCAGTCTGGATCGAGGGCCCGAGACAGTGGTAGAGAGCAACGTTGATGACACCATCTAGCTACCGGTCAGTACGAATGGAACCCTGTTATTCCGCCAAGAGCAGCTCTGGTCAACTTACCCCATGCCTCGTCGATAGCCGTCAGGTGCTCGGCGGCTTTCTCGACGAGCGGCAGTAGGATCAGGCCCAGGAACTGGTCGGGCACGCCGCTCTCCACGACATGCTCAATGTTGTCGACCAGGAACACAAGGAGCAAGGTCACGACGACGATCGATACGGCCAGCGCGAGGACGGTCTCGGTCATAGTGAACTTCGGCCTTGCCTCATCGGCCTCCCGGTCCGCGTCGTTGTGCTCGTCCATCTCGATCACCTCGTCGAAGATGCTGTGCTGGCTGCTAGCGCAGTACCAGATATACAGGAAGAAGGCGACGACGAGCACGATGGACGTCGTCTGGCTGATGCGGAGGACGTCCTCCTGCAGCTTTCCCTCGGTAAACCTCTCGTGCAGCGCCCCAAGCACGTCCGGCACGGTCTCGGACTTGAGGGCCGAGTAGAAGGCGCTGGGGATGAGCAGGGCAAAGGCTGCGACCAGCAGCAGCCCTGATCCCACCTCGGACACAATGGGGTGGAACTTCTGCGTGGTCCACCGGATGCCGCCAAAGAAGAAGCAGAGCCCCAGACATAGCAGCAGGTTGGTCAGGATGGAGCCCAGGATGGCGGCCTGGATGATGGGGATCAGGTTGCCCTCATCGCCGTTGCCCCCCTCGACGTCGTGCTTCGCAATAAGGACGATGAACAGGATGATCTCCACGATAGAACCGAAGGTCGTCTCGATGAGGATGCCGGCCACCTTGGGCATCTTCCTAGCAAACTCCTGGCCGGCGAAGCCGAGGAGGTTGGCGGCTGGGATCATTGCGACATAGCTCACGGCGAAGGTCCAGAGGTGGGCGCGCGTGAGGAAGTGCAGCAGGAAGGCGACGGGCACGAAGGGCCACAGCACGTTGACCCATTTCGACACGGTGCATGAGCTCAACCAAAGGACGTGGAAGAAGTGCCGCGGGTGGAAGCCGCTGCGGCCGCTCTCGCCCTCGTGCGCGATTGTCACCCGGTGTCGTAGCGGTGCTGGCAGGAGTGTCGTGTACTCGCTGGCGCGGCTGTGGTTGTGGTCGCCCGGCATCTTTGCTGCTCGTCAGGTGCCAATGTCAATGTCCGATTGAGATCACCAGTACTTTTCTTGCTTGGTTGAACCGTCGGGCTGGCATGGATAGGTCCAAGCCGAAGCTGAGGCTGGTGAGGCGGGGGACGAGAGCGCCAAGTCCCAAGGCCGCTAGACGCGACGTTTAAGCTTGGGGCAAACGGAGCAGCTACCGAGCTGGGGAGATACCTGACGCCGTCGTCCCCGCTGAGTTTGACAGGCCGCTGTGGATTACCTGTGCCGGCTCGGCGGAGGCTGACACGAGCAGTTGGGGCCCTCTTCAGTCCGGAGGTCTACTCCCCGGCCCCTGCTCGCACGATGGAGATCTTCAAGGACGAGACGCTGCGGTAGTCTGGTACTTCGTCATCGCGCTCCGGCCGTGCCTCTGAGTAAGGGCATGCGCCTGGTCCAGATGTTCTGATGCATTTAGTGTTGCCGCATGTGGAGGATGATTACAAGCAGCTGCTGCGTGCCAGAGGTCACTGCAATGTGCTTTCACCGGACTTGAGACTCTACTTCTCACCGGCGCAAGCGGTAATGTCCAGATCTACCAAGCTGAGAAAGCACGCATGCTCGGGCCCGCAACGTGATGCTGTGAGATGGGATCTGGAGTCTCATGGCTTCTCCCCCAGGTACTGACGATTGTCCGACCGCGGCGTCCATGGTCGCGAGAGATATCTTGACCTCACGATGAAAGCGGCTTAGTGTTGTTTTCAGGGCATTTGTGGCACGAGAAGACATCCATTGTCTGCCGGTCGCCTCGTTCGCCTTTTTTTCCCTCATCTCGGCAATCGTATCCGGCGCCGGCTGTGGGACAACAGCCCACATTGCTGGCCTCCCACTCGTGAGCCCTCGTTTTCACCCTTTGTGCCCCTGCTTTTCCAATGCGTATGTCGCTGTTACTGGACGGCAATACCTCGAGAAATCTTCTCACATGAGTGAACCCGCGGTTCAAGTAGGCACGCTTTGTGGCTGCACAAGAGCAGTATACTCGCTTCCTAGAAAAGGAAGGGATCTGATGTTGTAATGTAGCAAAAGCATTACCGAGCCCATGCCAAGTCCTTGCGAGAGCAGTTCTTGTAACGGAGCAAGACATCCGTCACGATCCGCACGTCACCAATTGTATGCACCTGGGAGAAAATTGGACACATGTCAAGACCCTCGTCGCTAACGACGACCACGTCCTGCTGGGACAGATTGCACCGCGTCTCGAGTGCGGGTGATGTCCCGCGGAAGGTAAACAGGCCCAGAAGACACGACAGTGCGTGCCTGAGGCATGTTGGACGCTGTCAGCCAACTTTGAGTTCAGGTGTCTCCACCCATCGTGCAATACCGATGGACTGGGGGAAGGTGGCTCTGGGACCCAGGGTCCATCATGCCCACCACTGCAGTCATGTTGGTGGAATCGGCACACCACGTACAACACATGTCGAAGAACTGGCCATCACCTTGGCTTGGACAGTTGGAGTCGTTGGTGTGCTGTGGGAAACAGTGCCGCAGACCGGGAAATCAGGCTCACTCGGCGGCAGTCAGCGACGCCGCCCGAGAAGTGTGGATGATGCGTCGGGCACCACGGGCGCTGGCTCGTCTGGATGTGCCGTTGAGCGGCCGCTCGCGGGTGCTGTGACCATCCAATGGTGGGCTAGCTGCGCGAACCACACTGGTCGGGACGCGAAGGGTGCTGACGGAAGCGCAGGCATGTCACTGCGAGCTGCTTCTTCACTGTGCGCGCGCGTGTCTGTCTGTGTGACACAAGCCTGGCCCGGCGTGCGGGTGTGTTGTCGGTTGTCTTTCGCTTCCCCAAAGGCCAAGCAGATTATGCTTTGGCTAGTAAGCAGGAAACGTGGCGGGACCAGCCGCAGAAACAGGAGACGGAGGAGCGGGATCAGACCACCGTGCTGGCTGGGTTGACCATGTCGGAGCAGGCTCTGGACCCCAACGGGAGCATCGGCGATGAGATATGAGCTGAACTCTGCGCGGGCCTGGCGGGAGGCGTGAGCCTTTGACGACAATCTGACAGGTAGGATCGGGCGGGTTATTAAGAAAGCATAGCGAGCGTTGCCGTCGCCGCTACCGGGAGGCCACCCCGGCCGTCTGATCGAGCGGCCGCATGCATGCACTCACGCACGCACGCACGCACGCACACGCACGCACGCACGCACTCACAGAGAGAGCTGCCCGCCTCGAGGACGAAACGGGTACCGGTAGTAGCGATCGCATCCCGATGTGTTAGCGGCGTGGTGTTGGATTGCCAATGCCCACCTGCATGCGTCCCCCGTTTCCCCCGTTGTGACCTGATCCGGACAAACCTGGACAAACTCAGCCCCGGCGATCCTCGCCCGGGGTCTGGACCGCACACGGCCGCTGCTCATAAAGGGAAGTGAGCTACACAAGAGTGGGCTTGGAGGGCACAGGCGGGACAGGACATGCCATCTTGTCGCACAGCACAGGCGAACAGGCGAACAGGCGACTGGCCGACCAGCAGACCAGCAGACCGGTAGACTGGCCGGCCGGAAGAGATCCATCCCTTCCCAGTCCGGTCATGCTGCGCAAGGCTCACCCGAGTGGAAGAGATCGTCGCTGTGCCTACTGGGGACGATAGACCACCCTCTGCAGTCCACCCGCCCGAGCGGCGGTGGCAGGCCCTGCATTGATATGTCATGTCGAACGGGAAGAAGGGGAGATCAATGTAGCGATTGCATGTAGACGGGATAGGTAGATGGACAGACGGGCAGTCAGACTGTCCAACTAACAACTGCCTAGGTAGACAATGAGACGGACAGATAATAATAGTAGTAGGTCGACTGTTAAGAAACTCGTGCGCGGTGCATGCTGCGGCTCGCGGCTTGTCACTTGAGAATGGGCTGATTTTGCCCGTTGGGGATGCCACGCCGCATAAAGCGAGGGCATCTGACAGGCGGCTACTTGGAGCTCATAGACCATAGTACCGAGGCTATCGGAGATAGCGGGGTGGGAAAGAGGGTTGGAGGAAGGAAGGTGGAGGAGGATGGAAGGGACGGGCTCCTCCTTCCCCCCTCGGCAACGCCCCTGGTTCATTGTGTGAGAGAGCGAAGTGTCGCTCTCTTTTTTTCCCAGAGGCCCGCGTCTCAAACAACGTGGCAGCCGGCCAATCATGGCGGGGTAGTTCCATGCCATTGGTGTGTCACAGGCGGGCGGTGGATCCGGAGTCTGCCAGAAATCAGACCACCGCCCTCGACATCGTGCCATTTCGAGCGACTTTCGACTCAAAGGTCTTGCAGAGTCAGGCCAACAGGGACAGACAGGAACAGGGCACCTGCAGACAAGAGATGCGCTCTTTGCCTCTGCCTCAGCCCGTGGTTCCGCCTCTGATACACTCGTCCAGCGCGCACTAATCATGCCGCCTCCTCCTGCATCTGCAGTTATCTGCGCGCGAGGCTGCAGCTGCTCGACTGTCAGTCCGTGTCAACCTCCTCAAGCCATCTGTCAACCACCCACCCTCGCCCCCATCCGTACATCTGCAGCTAATCCAATCCATCGTCGTCGTCGCGACATTCCACTCTTGACTCGTTGACTCCTCTGGTCTACTTCTCCGCCCTCGCCTGGTTTCAGTGCAACCAACCCGTTCTTCGCCATCCCCCCTGCCGCCTCCCACACACCCCTACCCATCTGCCTGTCTGTCTGACTGGATCGTCGTCCCCGGATTCCAGAGTCTTGGGTCCCTTGAGTCTCCCAACATATACACGCTCTTAAGAGTCTGGCTGTTTGCTCTCTCGTCCCTTTCCGATCCCGCTAGGTCGACATTACACCCTCCTATAACATTCCCGCCCCATACTCCTGGGCCCTCTTTGTGAACCCGTCTCACACCTGTCTACCCTATCCTGCGCCTGTCACCCACGGCCGGGTCCAGCCTAGTCCTTACCTGTGCCGAGGCGACCGTGCCGTTCTGAGCATTCTGGCTTGAACTGCCATCCCGCCGCGGCACCTGTTCAGAAGCGTCCAGTCTGTCTCCTGGCTGGAGTTCAACAACTAACTAGCGCTCGGGCAACCACCTGAGGCATTCTTCTCGGCCTTGGAACTGCCTTGTTAGTCGGATCCACCATCGTGACATCTTCCTTTGCGTCTCTGTCGGCTCGGCCGGAACCGCGGGTCGCCCCTGCGGAACAGACTCTTGACGCCGACCACCACCCATTCTGCGAAGCCGCCTCTGTAATTCCCACCAAGAAGACCCGCCCCGGCCCTGAGCGTGGTGTGCGATCATGGCACCCGGAATACTAGAAACGAGCTCGGACAACACGCGGAGCCATGACGGCAACATCGAGACTACCGAAGGCGTCATTGGCGCAAACTGCGTCGACCGTATAACCCTCCTCAAGAGCATGCCCGAGGTCCCATCACAAACCCAGGTCTGCATCGTGGGCGCTGGTCCAGCCGGCTTGATGCTCGGCGCAAACCTGTCGAGATTCGGCATCAAGGCCCAGGTCATAGACGATCGTGCGGATCCAACACCTGTAGGAAGGTATATACACTCCCTCAGGAGCCCATCGTCGTAGCAGGCGGGCCTTGACTTGAGCTGACCGGGTTGCACAGGGCTGATGGCTTGCAACCAAAAACCATCGAGACCTTCAGGCAGATGCGCCTGGTCGACCCCTTACTGCAGCGGGGCGTCCGCGTTTATGACATCTCTTTCTGGCGCTCAACAGCCGACGAGCCCCTCCGCCGGCTGGGCCGTGAAGTCCACTACCCGCCCGTCATCGATGTGTTGGACCCGTACATCCTGCTCGTACATCAGGGAATGGTAGAAAGCTTGTTCATCGAGGACATGAAGAAGCGCGGGGTTGAGGTCAAGAGAAACTGTGCCTTTGAGTCGTACAGCGCGTGCGACGCCTTGATGTCCAAGAAGGTCGGCGCAGCGCTTCAGATCAATACCAGGGTGAATGTGACTCAGGACAAGAGAACGATATTGGCACAGTACCTTGTTGGATGTGAGTTTGACCCATGCGAGCTGGGCCGCGGTAGGACAAGGAAGCTCGAGCTGACCCTGTCTAGGCGACGGCGCACACTCAAAGGTACGGAAGAGCATCCCCGAGGCGCGGCCGGTGGGCATGTCGCAGCCTGTTGTCTGGGGTGTGCTGGATGGGGAACTCGAAACCGACTTCCCAGATATCTGGTCCAAGACGCTGGTCTTCTCGCAGGAATTCGGCTCTATTCTCATCATACCCCGGGAACGCAACATGACCAGGTTCTACATCGAGCTCAAGAGCGGGATGAAGGAGGACAAGAAGATCCTGGGCCAGGAGTTCATCATGGCGCGCGCAAAACAGATCATGGCACCGTTCAGGGTCAACTGGAAGTACATCGAATGGTTTGGGCGTTACCAGATCGGCCAGAGGGTTGCCAGTCGGTTCTGCGACTCTCACCACCGTGCATTCCTGGCAGGCGATGCCAGTCACACCCACTCACCCAAGGCGGCGCAGGGTATGAACACCTCGATGCATGACTCCTGGAACCTGGCGTGGAAGCTGAACCTCTCTGTCCGGGGACTGGCGAAGCCTACGCTCCTGGAGAGCTACGAGGAAGAGAGGAGGAAGATCGCGCTGGACCTGGTCAATTTCGACTACGAGCATGCCAACCAGATCGCCGCCGGTGACGCGGTGACGCTGGCTGAAAACTTCAAGACCAACGTCCGATTCATCTCCGGCATTGGTGCCGAGTATGGCGAGAACTCCATAAACATGCTGGAGAGCCAGACGTGGCTGCTGGGCGAGGCCAAGCCAGGTTGCCTGCTCCCCCCGGCCAAGGTGACCCGGTACCTGGACTCCAACCCAGTGGACATCCAGCTCGACATCCCCATGCTCGGGCAGTTCAGGATATATCTACTCATGTGGGACGTGCACCAGGCGAAGATGTTCCTAGATAACTTCTGCGACGCATTGGCAGCGGACAACTCGCTCATCCGCCAGCTCTCAGTAGCAGCCAGCCTGTCGTATGCGGCACAGCCGAGAATGCCCGCCCCTGAGGATATATACGTCCGACCGGAGAGGTACACTGCCGTCAGCCACCTGTTCACATTTGGCCTTATCAGTAAGCACCCCCTCCAACTAAAGTGACTAGGGCAGTTGCCATGACGGAATGCTAACACAAGACAACCAGCAACCATGCCCAAATCTGACATTGAGATCTCCGACCTGCCGCCCCTGCTGCAGGACAGCCGCTGGACGTTCTATCTGGACGACATTCCCGAACAGGACACGCGCGGCTCGCTGTGCACAAACAAGTGGCTGGGCAGCCTGGGGCCCGGAGAGGTCGCCATTGTCACTGTGCGCCCGGACGGCTACGTCGGCAGCCTGGGCAGGTGGGACACAAGCGTCGACGACGCCGGAGAGGAGGCGGCCAAGTGGCTCGACACGTATTTCGACCGGTTCCTGCAGATCCCCGAGGTGCTCAGGAGTCCCTCCCCGAACGCCTCCGTGTCTGCCACCAGCACTGTCAATGGGGCGAAGCGGGTGAAGGTCGAGGAGATGGAGGGTGTGAACGGCACCTCCTGATGGCGTCCGCATGGGGCAGCACGGGGAAGCGAGGAGGAAGTTAATGATGCAACTGTTTGACACTGAAGGGGTTGGGGCGTAAGGTTCTGATGGGTTTGGCACATCATCCATCCCTCTCTCTCTTTTTGCTTTCCCCCATTACGAATGGGATGGTGCATTTGCCGGGCAAGAGAAAAGACTGCTCGCCACTTTTGCATTGGGATACTTTTTTTTTTTTTTTGCTCCCAGACTTGGGCAGGGGCAGAGCGTAGTGAAGCAGCGCATCTGGGCGAAAATGATCTTGGGATAGACATTGCATTCTACTACGACGACCAGGCACGCGGTGGTGGGATGTGGAAGTGAGAGGCACTTGTACATAGGTGGTGTCAGTCGCACTCTGCTCGGGACATTTGAGAGATGGGGCAATGTCATGACCGTAACGTTTGTGTTAGAATCAACGATGTAAAACGTTATAATAACCCAAGTACTGGTTTTGCCGCCATGCCTGCCAGAATGATTTGCTAGATATGCCTACGTGCCTATAATTCGTCCCGTAACCGCTCAGCAGCTTCCTGGCCGACTAGGTCGTCACCAGAGGTCGGCACGAAGCCTTGTTCCTCATTCCCATCCTCCCCAGCCGTTCGGTCGTCTAGTTCGTCCCTGTGGCCAACCTGCTCCTCAACCCTGTCGACTATCCTGCCTACCTTATCAATCATGGATTCAGGATCGCCGGTCTCGCTCTCAGCCGCATGCTTGTCCGCTCGGCCAACCTGCGCAGTAGGCACAGCACCCTCCTCCCCGACGCCGACGACCTTGGCGCTCTGTCCCTCGCCGCCCGCGACGCCGACCTCCATGGTCGCTCCGGGTTTCCCGCCGGCCAGCCCGACGGCGGTGGAGCCGGTGCGGAACACGAGGCGCACCGGGAGCCACACGAGCCACCACAGCGGGCCGTACATGAAGCGACGGAACACCAGCCACGACAGCGTGGCGAGCAGCATGTAGAAGGTGGTCTGCAGGTACCAGGTGTCGGTCTTGGTGCTCTTGAGCAGCACGCCGACCAGGTCGCGGCTGGACCGCAGCATGTCGTCCATTCGCGAGTAGTTGGACCCGAGCGACTTCATCTTGAGCGTCGACTCCTGCAGCGTCTCGTGCACCGCGATGCTGCGCGACAGCTCGTCCGTCACGGCCTGGTGCGCCCGCCGCAGCGACACCGTCAGGTCCGACGACGCCGCCACCACCGGGTCGCCGTAGTTGCCCGTGGCCTTTTGCGTCTGCCGTCGTCGCGGCGCGGGGCCCGCCGGCGGGGCTGGCGAGTTGGCGCCCGACCGGCTTGGCGTCGAGGCCGCTCGCGTGTATGACTGGAGAAGCAGCTCGCGCTCGAGCCGCTGGGCCGCCTCGAGGGAACGCTTCGCCGTGAGCTGGGCCCTATGGAAGGATGCGCGGCAGCTGGGACGAGATGGGGCAGAAGGTCAGCTTTCTGAAGCCATACGATCATATGTTTTGTGGAGTTGGCGCAGGAGTGCGAACACAACTCACCTCTTTACCTCGCCTTCCAGCCTGGCCGCGCCCTCCCTCAGTCTCTCTTTCTGCCGCGCGGCGTCGCTGCCGTCCCTGCCGCCGCGTAGGTCCGTGATTTCCTCGCCTAGGAGCTCCAGGTCCTCCTCCTCCTCGCGCAAGATGTTGCCGATCTCGCCGCTCAGCTCCGCCGCGACATTATCGTCGTCCTCGCCGAGGCCATCCCCGCCGGGAAGGGGCACCGAGCCAGGCTGGAAGTTGAGGTTTGCGAGTCGGTCGATCAGCTCCCTCACCTGTGCTGTGGTTTCCTGCAGCGCTGTCAGGCGCTCTTGCAGCGAGTCGAACGACATGTCTGATCTTCACGCAGCTCTCTCTCTCTCTCTCTCTCTCTCTCTCTCTCTCTCTCTCTGTGCTAGTTTTTCGCGCGAGGGCGAAGGTCCGTGAAGGTTCTCGTGCGGGAGTGTGTAAAAAAAAGATGCTGAGTGTCTTGGACTTCAGGACAGCTTCCCTGACTTGCCTGCCCTGAGGCCACACGTCATTCCAGGGGTAGCACGGCCCGAGCGCCACGGCCCAGTACCTAGGTAGCCCGGGGCAGGCGGTCGCCTGCCCTCCTGCCCGCCGCGAATTTTCCCGCCGTATCCAAGCAAAGAGAGCTTCTGACGGGGACCGCCGATTATGCTGCCCTCGCGACGAATTCACGATACCCACGCCAGGCCGCCCACAACCCCAATCGAGAGCCCCAAGAGCCACCATCCGCGTATTATTGAGAAATCATAGCGCCAGAGTCTCTTCGACGAGATATCTCAAATCCGCAGGCAAAGACTCAGACGCAGACACCCAAACGCACGCCGCCAACCGCCTCCCAAGATGATCACCCGCTTCATCACCGAGGTCAACACCAAATTCAACCCCTTCTCTGCAAAATCGAGGTCCGCCCGGCTGTTCCTCTCGTTCCTGCCGCCCACGGCGCGCAGCCAGGGCATGGCCATCCAGACGAAGCTGCTGCCGCGGGCATCAACCGACAAGGCGGCCCTGCAGGTCAAATTCAGTACGGTTACATTCTCCGCATCTTCCTAGCTGCTATGCACATACAGACGTGGTGTGTATGTGTGTGTGTATGCGTATGCATTCTACAGAGAATACTAACCATCGCTCCTTGAGCACAGAGGACGGAAAGCTTCTGGACCTCGACTGCGAGAACTTGGGCATCAAGAGCCTCGTCGAGGAGTGCGACAGACACTCACGGGCATTGCAGAAGCAGGCAGACCTGGCGGATGCGTAGTGACCTGCTTGAGGGTCGTCCTGAGAAGAGCAGTGGGGGACGTAGGACGAAGTAGGCGCGGGGAGAATACCCATGAGTGTATGCATGGCAGGCGTTTGGAGGGAAAAGGTGGCTTTCTCTTGTGAATTACCTACGGTGTATATCCGAGCATATTCGGCGATGGCCACTAATGCCAACCAAACACACGGATCGAGGCAAGCAGATCTCGGCAAAGACTACGGCAGTCTCAAAGAAGCTCGAACGACTCGTATTTCTCTTGGGCGGGTTTTTATCTACTTTTGATGTTCAAATACGACCACGAACTAACGCTAACCCGGGGAAGACAATCGCCTCAGCCCATTGGGAATCCACCGGACTCATAGACTCTGGATTGGGGCCATACATCTATGCGGAGGCTCCGCTGATGAAGAACCACTTGTCTATCGAGGCGTCGATCTTCTCAGGGGGCAGCTCCTGGTTGGCAGGGATAGGAGGCAGCTGGTCGGGGGAGACACGGCTGGGAGAGTGGCTGACAGTCAGGTTGGTGCTGATAGATGGCATGTTAGCGGGGCGGTGGGATCATGAGAAGGGTTGGGCCGAACACATACGTAGAGACACCGCCGGCTGGGGTCTTGCCGGTGATCAGCCTCTCCCAGGCCTCGGCACACTCGTGGACGACGTCCATGGCGTACTTCTTGTTCTTGCACTCGCCAGTGAAGGCGAACTGGTTCTCAGGCTTTCCGTCGGGGATCTTGTAGATACGGAACCACTCGTTGGTGGCACGCAGAAGGCCGGGCAGGTGGCGCTCGACGTCCTCGACGTCGTTGAGCTTGGAGGCCAGGGGGTCGTTGACGTCGATGACGATGACCTTCCAGTCGGTCTCCTCCTCGTCGAGCAGGGCCATGACGCCCAGGACCTTGACCTGCTTGACCTGGCCGGTGTAGCCAACCAGCTCGCCGATCTCGCAGACGTCGAGCGGGTCGTTGTCACCCTTAGCCTTGGTCTCGGGGTGGACGACGTTGGGGTCCTCCCAGGTCTGGAAGGGCGTGGTGTTAGAGCACGGCGATGGGTGGCTACTGCTCATGTTGGATCAATCATACCTGGGGGAAGGCACCGTAGTTCCACAGGTAGCCCTTGTGGGGGAAGCAGTTGCGGACATATCGAAGCTTGCCCTTCTTGATGTCCTGCTTGATGGGGTTGAGGAGCTCCTCCTTGGAGATCTGGGCAATTGACACGGTGGAGGTTAGCCGACAGCTCGGACGAGTAGAGTCAGGCCGACACGAGGTGGTCGTGGCCGTGGTCGTGGCCGTGGCCGTGGGACGTGATGGTCTGCGTGACGGCGGTGTCAAGGCGCCACAACGGCCACAGCACCAGGTCGTAGCGAGTTCACTCACCTCAAGCTTGGCATTGGTCCAGCGAGGGATCTCAACGATCATGTTGAGGATGGTCTTCTCCTGGTTGGCAAACAGGGGGATGTCATGGAAGGGCGAGACGGGCACGCCATCCTTCTCGATGTACACGCGGTGCTCGAGGGTGTAGGGGGCGGCGACCTTGCGGGTGGCGTAAGACATGATGCCGTCTTGTCTTCTTGCTTCTTTTCCGGGCTGGACAGAGGAGGTGGGAGAAGAAGGAGAAGAAGAAGCCGAGAGGTGGCGGGCGATCTGGGCTGTGCGGAGGGACGAAATCTTGAATGCTGGGCTGGCCCTGGAAGAGCTTGTGAGGGTGAGGGTTGGATGCGGTCCAAAGGGGGGGCCAGAAGTTGACACCAGTCCACTTGCTGCTGCTGGTGAAGATTGTGGAGGGGTCGGGAGTGGAGGGGCTGCGGGCGATAGCGGGGCTGCAAGATTTGGCCTGCCACCAGCTCCTGGACCTGGACGACCGGAAGACACACTGTCGTTGTCATGGTAGCAGCGCCGGCAGCTGCGTGGCCCCAGCCCCAGCTGGCCCAGCCCCGATCTCCCCCCCGCGACCAATGGCCGGCAATCGCCTCCTCGTGCTCCTCGTGCTGCTCCGGCCTGAAGTTGCGGTAAGGCCAGGCGGAGGGCTCCTCGGGGCCGCATGACGCAGACTCAGACACGGAAGGGAGTCTTGCAGTACAAAGAAAGAATAAATGCTTGCTGCCGTTGCCCCTTGCACCTACCCCGGCCTTTGCAGTACTTGTGTGCGGCTGAGCTGGCACTTGGTTTCGATCGCCTTGATTCCCGGCGACACAACCAGCCGGTCTATGTCTCGCTGAATCGTCAAGGGTCGGGAAAAGTAGGAAACGTCCTAGATGTGCCTGTGTTCTTTTGCTCGTGGGAAGCATGGCTCGTAGCTCGTACAGACCCAGACCTGTTGTGTGCTCAACAAGTCCCCCGGTCAGCAGTTGGGAAAGAGAGCAACGCAAGAAGAAGAGAAGAAAAAAAAAAAAAAAAAAAAAAAAAAAAAAAAAAAAAAAGAAACCATTTCCACCGACCACGGGATGTTCTCGTGATCCAACCGCCCCCCTTTCCCCCTCCACCACACTTATACACACGCACTTACACATCTGCGCGCGAAGACGAAGACGAGGACAAAATTATTCATGATTTCCATTCAAACTGGTACCAAACATCACAAGCAATCGCCTCGTCTCTCCTCGTCAGGGTATCTGCTGCTAGACTAATGAAAGCATATTCCCAGTTAACATTTGCCGTTGAGCTCCATCTCATAATCTGTGCGCCATCTTGATGATGTGCAAGCACGCTTCTCTTCGCTCCGCCCCGCCCTCTCCCCCCAAGAGTTGGAAAGGGAAGAAAGAGGCAGGACGAAGAAGCCAAAGCTAGAAAAATACGATTCCCACTTTCACACCGTCTGCTTCATCTCGCGGGCGCTGGCAGCCGGACGGTTCTCCCGGCCGCCCTATCGCCGGGGGAGGTTGCCGTAGGAGCCCTTTCCAGAATTATTCCCGTATGCCCCAGCGTTGAATCCCTGCGTGATGCTCTGCCGCACTATGGCCGCTGCCGCCTGGCTCGCCGCCATCCTCTCCTTCTGCCGGTGTCTCTCTCGGAGGTACCCTGCCGCCTCAGGCCGCATCCGCAGGATTCGGAGGATCATGTCGTCCGACGGGTCTGCCTGCGCCTCTTTGCGCTTCTCCTCCTTGGCCCGCTTCATTGTGCCCAGGTTGCGGCTCATCATGATAGACTTGCCACGGCGGATCGTGCCCATGCTTCCGAATGCCCCTGCCCCAGAGTTGAACGTCGGCCCAAAGGTCGCCGGTGCCGACTGCCGGCTGGCCTGCTGCACCTGCTGCTGTGCGCGCTGTTGCGTGGCTGCAACCATGCGCTCCGACGTTCGGATGAGCGTCTCGGTCGGGTCGAAGTACCAGAAGTTGAGCGAGGCCAATTCATGCCACTTAGGTGATTTCAGTACCTCTGCTGGGACTCCCAGTACCTCGCCATCCTCGTCTTTGGCGTGGAAGAATTCAAAGAGCATGTCGAGCCACTTGTACACCACGTCGAGCTCGACCTGCGTGAGCGGCTTCTGTGTCGACGGCTTGTCTGACAACGGTGGCACCAGAAGGCCCTCTATTGCCATGAGGACCTCCTTCCACAGACGGGTCATGACGGCCATCATCGTGGCCTCGGTAAGCGTCTGCTTCATTATGGCAAAGTTTTCGTCAAAGTAGTTGAAGAGCGCCTGGAGTGCATTCTCCACATCGGCCTGTGTCACCGGCGGAGCAACGGTCTTCCTGGTCTTCCACATGTTCCCGATCGATGCAGCGATGCCCCGGCTGAGCAGGGTCTTCAGGGCTTCATGGGAAAGCGATGCGTTGATGACAGTTGTCAGCTGTGAGGGTGTCAGTTGCAAGTCGTACGTCGTAAGCGCCGACAGTTCCCAAACGTACCTTGTCCGTGATCTTCCGCACCATGTCTCGCTCTGTCCTTTTGAGGTGTCTGAAGGCCTTACCGAAGTGGAACTGGATGTCATCTTTCTCGCCCTCCATGCTCACTCTGATCAAGAGCCTGCCCTGCGTGTCAAGATCCAGCCAGAACTCACGCGGCAGGTAGTCGCTAAAATGGATCGGGTCGAGCTTCAGTGAGGTACGGCCCACAAAGTCATGGTCTCCGAAAGTATCGTAGTCCCACAATGTCGCGATCACGTTCACTGGCCCCGTGACAGTAACGTCCACCGACTCGTCCCAGCGTGGGTTCAGCGTCCTCGAGACCACGCGGGTCTTGGCAAGACGCTTCTGATACTCATCGACCAAGACTACATACGGGTCACTATACCCATTTGGGTCGCAAGCCTTGATGTCCTCTGCCTCGACGACCTTGATCGTGAAAACATACTTATCCGGCTTGCGGTACTGCTTCGGGCCTTCCTTGTTCCTTAGCACATCCGCGCACCCCTCCACGTTCATGGCCTTTTCTAGCTTATCCAGTGACTGCATCGCATATTCGATATTGTTCAACTTAACGAAGGACTGGATGGACCGGTCAGTGGATCTCTCCGGTGGGGGCACTGGAGGCTGTTAGGTGCTCACCTCAGGGTAGAACTGGAATGGCTCTATGCCGTCCTTGGTATTCCAGGCGTCCTTGGCCATTTGCATAAACCGCTCCTGCGTGGTCCTCTGAGCTGCCGCCAGCTCCTGGGCTGTTTGGCGGTCCATCTCCTTCGCGAACTTGCCCTCAACGATCTCGCAGTAGCGGCCAATCCCGGCAGCAAACGCCTTGGCTAAGGCGGTCATGAACTTGGCGTGGTGGACATCATCGTCCCATTCAAGCTGGAAGATCTGGTCGACAGTCTGGTTGAACAATTGGAATATGTCAATGATAGACACACTGTGGCGCTCCGCGTCCGTGGGGATGTTGCCCGGATGATTCGTCCTGACTTGGAACTGGTCCTGTTTGATGGCCTCTTCCACGAATTGTGTCATTCTCGTTTCCGCCTCGCCGATCCAGCGCCAGACAAACTCTTCTAGTACACTCTCGATGTGGAAGGCGAACGCCATTCCTGGAAGGAACTCGACATGGATCTTGCGGAGCTCGACCAGCTCCTTATACAAGTCGAACCCGTCCACCACGTTGACCTCCTCCCCTCTTTCCTTGGCCGCTATGACGATGGTCTCGATCAGGGCCTTTGCATCTTCCTCGAAGCTGGGGAATACTGTTTGGACCAGGACCGCGAAGGGCGACACTCCCATGATCTTGGGGTTCTTGGAATACTTTTTCTTGATCCTCGTGCACAACTTTGTGACTGCCCGACCAAGATTTACGACATGGGAGAAGTCCCAATCTTCTTTGGCTTGGGGGACCTCCTTTTCGAGGAATCCGTGGTACACTTGTTCAGCCTGCTGCTTGAGGCCCTCGGTGAGCGTCTTGGCGAACTCTTCCAGCTCCTCTTCCCGCTCGGAAAACACCGGGTCTGGGTATACGTGGTTCATGAGAAGGACCATTGTCACACCTACGGAAGGTGCCTTGGGTTCATAACAGTGCATTAGCACGTCATAGACATCTCGGAGGAGGGCATCGTGAAGAGCGTTGAGTATCTGCTGGTACAGGGTGAAGTCCACCAGTGTCCACTTGCTCGGATCAATCTCGGGCAGGGTCGCGGTGAACAGTTGAATGTAAGGGAGCTTCTTGGGCTCGGGCGGTGGAGCCTTGACAAAATCAAAACAGGCATCGAGCTCGTCACCTCGAAGTTCCTGGTCCAGGAACTTGCGCACAGCGACCTCGAGAAAGGTGATGTGCCTGGTGAACTGCGGGATACGCCAGTACGCGCACAGCTCGTTCAGTAGCTCCAGGGACTGGTGTGAGAGCGGGACGAACTCCTCAGACTCGGCGTGTAGCTGATCGAACGTCATGGCATTCTGGAGGATCATTTTATAGAACGCCCTCGGGTCAGGGGGGATAAAGGTGTAGTTGGGCTCATCCACGCTGCGTATACTGGAATTGTCATCAAACGAGAGTGAACTCAGACTGAAGGACGGGTCACCCCCGGGGCCGGCCGAGTCAGGATTGTTGATCATCTTGGCCAAGTCTGCAAATGCCTGCTCATCGGAGAAGATGGACGTGGGACGGACGGGCAAGGGCTTCTCGAAGCTCGTGACAGTCTTGCTGAGGTCGGGGCGGACCTTTAACACGTCCAGCATCAGCGATGTCAGGTGCTGACGCTCACCTGCTTTCCATTCCTCGAAGGACTCGTTTACGTCGAAGTCCTGCCGCCTAAGGGCGCCGTCCATGTTCGAGTCGAGGCGGTGCTGGTAGGCCTTGAGGTCTTTGAGGGCGGCCTCCTCGGTCCAAATGTTTCGGTTTACATCGACATCGGACTGCAGCTGGGAGTTGGTGCGGCCAAAGATCTTGCCCACGATCTGCACCATGTGCATGTCCTTGACCTGGTAGCTGTGCGGTATGTCGACCTCGATGGTCTTGTGCTCGCCACCGCTCTGGCCGCTGTCGATGGACAGGTTCTCGTCGTTGCGCAGCAACTTCTGCTCCAGGGTCTGGAGCTTGCTCATGAGCTCGGGCTTGTCCTTGTCGGTGCCGTGCTCCCTGAAGATGCTCAGGATCAGCCTCACGAAGAGGGCGAGGTGCCTATCAACCAAGATCTTCCAGGTGTGGTCATCGGGAGCCTTGCCTCGGCCCTGGGCCCTAGACGCAGACGAGTAGAAGATGAGGATGAGGGGCTCGAGCTTGCGGTCCTTGTCGAGGCTCTTGCGGAAGCTTGCATCGGTGAAGGAGGTGTAGGCCTCGGCAAAGCTCCTCTTCAGGTTTGGGTCGCTGAAGCCCTGGAGTTTCTCGGTGCCCCTGACGACATGCCCCATGCGCTTCTCCAGCCAGCCGGAGAAGCTGTGCGGGAGCTTGACCTCCTTGCCCGAGGTTGAGCCCGTGGGGATGAACTCCTTGACCAGCTCGCCGATGTTCTGGGTGTACGTGTGGACCCTTGTGGGCGCCTTGGGCACCGTGACATATTCCTTCCTCTTCTTCTTGGGCTGCAGCAGGTAGTGGAGGAAGGCGACGCTGAGGGCGTAGTTGTAGGCATCCTCGTAGCTGACGGGCGCCTGGAAGGCCCGCGAGCCAGCCCTGGACCTCCGTGGCGAGCCATCATCCTCGCGCTGCAGGCGATTTATGCTCTTGTTCAGGCTCCTGCTGTTGTGCTTGTACTGGCGGTCCGAAGACGTCGACATCTTGAGGGTTGCAGTCTGGGACGGGGGCAGGGCAGGGCCAGGCAGGGCAGGGCGGGGTGTTGCCGTGGGCGTGGGTGGAAGTGACGTCCGCGCCCCTTATCCTGACCACAACATCACTCGAGGCCGCTGTCTGTAACGGGAGCACCAGGCGGTCGGGCCGTGGACCGTGGATCGTGGACCGTGGAGGGTGGGATAGTGGATGCAGGCGAGTGTTGATGGAGCAGAAGGTTGGTTGTGAAACAGATGGACTAGCAGTCAACAACGGGCACCGTTGGGGTTGCTAGCTACTATGTATGTTACGTATGGGCGTTGTACGTACGTGTACGTGTACTGTATGCGGTACGTATGCACGTAGTGTCTATGCACGACGGTGCGCACGCAGTTGGACTAAAATGGCCCAGAAACGGGCGGTTGGAGCGTTGGGTCCTGTCGTCCTGGTCGCGGTGAGAGGGCAGCAAGGGCACAGGCACAACTTTTGTTCAGGAGTCTAGCTGGCTGTAGGGTGCCCAGGTGCAGGGCTATGACAGGACAGGGCAGGACAGGGTATGGTGTGGAGGATGGAGGAGGGAGGTGGAGGGAGGAAGGTCTGTCTACTGGTACCCACGGCAGGTCGTTCCCACCGATTGCAGCCCATGCAGCCCAAGGGGACGTCATCAGCCAGCCCAGCCAGCCCGGTGGGCGAATGGGAGGCGGGAGTAGGAAAGATGCGCCTGCCCATGGGTTCTCCCTGCCTGCGGGCTGTTGGTCTGTCGCTGGCGGCGCGGCACCCCCCCCCCACTTGGGCCTTTCCAATTCCAGCCACCCCTGACCGTATCACAGAATTAAACATGCGGGCCTGCAGTTGTCCAGTGAGAAATGCAGATTGTTATGAACGAGCCAGATTCTCCAACTTTCTAGTCAGTTGCGGTCGGTCACCTCCCGCTCGAGCAGCTCTGCGGGGACCATTGCCGAAAAGAAGAGTACAGCAGACTGCGCATAACGTGCCTCGAGCAATGCTGCCGTATCTGCCTGATGGCCACACAACTGCGCCGGCACGCTTGCAGCCAGGAAACATCCAAGTCCACAGCCACGGTCTACACTCGACCAGCATTAATATTGTTAGCTTAGCATATCTATGGGTTAGCAACCCGCAGGTCTCTTCATACCAAAACTTTGCCTAAGAGGTACCTTTTTATATCAAAAACACATATCTCCTTAAATAAAAGTAAATACCTCTTTCTAAACTTAAAACTTTACCCTTGCTAATATTAAAGAAAGAATTTTTAACTAAGAATATTAAGAAATAATAATTTAAGAAGGAAGATGGTATTAAGTATCTTGTGATAGGTGTAAAGACAAGGTAAAGAGAAAGTTCTTAAAACAAGCCTCATGGAAAAAAGCGAGCTAACAAAATTAATGCTGGTCGAGTGTACACAAGGTTGGCCGCTCGGCAGCACAGACGCCCGGGATAGTGTTTGATCTCGCCCGCTTGTCCTTCAGCAGAGCCCCCATCACGGCAGCCCTGGCTGGCCGAGGCATCGTGACATGGTGTTTTGATGTCGCAGGCTGCCCTGAGACGGTAGAGCGGGAGTACCGAACTGAGCTGAGCGGTGTGTCCCAGCCCGTAAAGGCCCGTTCGAGAGGCTGATGACCTTTCTCTCCTCTCCTCTCTCACGATCCCCCCCAGGCGGATACAAAAAAGATGGACACGGGTATGATCGAGCTACACGCTGTGGGGCGAGTCCTATACGAGGGGCAGCTCCAGCTGCAGAAACACGACACCATGCTCGGGAAGTTTGTGGTGACGAGTAGGGACGGTCTCGTGGACAGCGCCGCGTTCTCAGACTGTTGGCTATTGGCGTCTGCCTGCGTCTGGTCGATGAAAATGATTAGAAACAAACCGGGCGGACAGGCAGGCGTTTTTGCCGTCCTAGCTGACTGAAGTGGTCGTCACCGCCAACGGCTCGCCAGGGCTCAGCTCAGCTCTCGTGTTGGAAGGGTTGGCGGCGGAAGTGGTTTTCTGGCTATTGTTGTTGGCTGCTGTGCTTGAATTGTAAGTGCTGTCGAAGTGGCTCATTTGCAGTCAAGTGGTGTGGACTCGTGGCCGTTGCTTGTGACGAGACTTCATTAACAGGACTACTCTGCTGTGGTGGTCTCTTGTGAATGATAGAATTTCTGGGGCAGGGTAATCTAACGGAGGCGTTTCGAAGAGCTGGCCAGCTGGCTCAAGGTTCCCCTGAAGGGGTCTCACCTGCATGGGCCACTGGCCGATCCCCGGGCCTCGATTGAAGATCAGATGGTGTTGCTTAGCCTGGTGCAGGCCACTAGCTGGGATAATGTCATTCCTGGGTACTGTGCAGAGACTGTTATTCACTATCCCCATTGGTAGAAATGAGCCCCTCATGCCCAACGTGAGCCACTGGTACGTGCCCATATCTACGACGGTGACTTTATCCCCGTCTCGAGTCAAAGACTGCGGCGGGCACCCTCATCCTCGGAAGTGCATGTATCCAGGCAGATGGTTGCTGCTGTACTGCCCGGCAGGTAGTGAGTGGTGGTCGACCCCAGTTGGCCGCGGCCTGGTATATCGCACAAGTGATGATGATGATGATGATGGAGGAGGGGCGACAGATAAAAATAAAATACTGTGCTGGACCGCCTGCGACACAGCAGACTGACTCCGCAGTAGAATGCTGGAGCCAGGAATAGAAACCTAAACCCCAACCTCGAAACCTACCTGGCCGCATGTACCGTATCTTGGTACTCAGTTACATCATGTCAGCCTATGACCATTGCCCGTGTGCCTCCTGTACTACGGCAAACGCGCGCCGCAGCAGGCAGTCAGAGAGACTAATAAGATCGGGTCCCAGTAGCCTGGCACAGTGACGCCTTGTCGCCGAGCCTTGAGCCCTTGAGCCTTGGGCCCTTTCAAAGCACGTATCTATCTATACCTAGGCAAGGTAATCTAGTCTATCTGCCGCGGGTTGTCCGCCTGCTGACTGATTATCTGCCCCCTCTGTGTCCCTCGTCGCGCGCACCGTGTCACGACTGGGTTCAACTCCTCCTCTTGGGCTGCTGGTCTCTGAGGATCCACACGCATTCCTCTGCCGCCTCCTGCAGCACACAAGCACAGAGCACGAGAGCACAGGCACAAGCACAGGCACAGGCACATCAGCACCCTGTCCTGTCCTGTCCTGTCCTGTCCGGCCCAGCCCTGCCCTGCCCTGGCGCAACCCCGCGACGACTTGGGGTGGCCCACAGCCAGGTGCCCTTGCCATGTTGGACTTCCAACCTCTTTAATAATATCGCAGCAGAATACACCAGGCCACTCGACCTCGACAATTAATCCTGTCTTCCCATTCGCCTCTTAGCCACGCCATTATACGCAAACACAACAGCCTTCCCCCTCTGCATGACTACGGCGACCGCTGCGTTCCATACAATACGGCAGATAGCTCACAACCCCTCGCCCTGCCTCCCGGCTCTGGGCGTGGCCCTCGAGCCCCTGACGCTTCATCATGGGTAACGTCTCGAGCAGGCCCGACGACGGCGCCGCGCTCTATCTCAGCGACCAGAATCGATGTGAGTCCCGCCTCGGCTCCTGCTGCCTCCTGTCCTGTCCTCTGCGCTCCGCGCTGACCCGCCGCTCCTCTCCTGCAGTATCTATCGCATCGCTTGTCATAAGCAACACCCGGAAGCGCACATCTATCATCATCTCCCCCAATGCATTTCCCGCCACAAGAGTATCAGCATCGCGCCCCGCCGGCGACAATGCCCCAGTTGAGTTCATACAGGTCCGTCCTGCCTCGTTCCCTGAGTCGCCGTCCCTTTCTCGCGAAAGCCACATCTCGTCCTCGCCCGGAAACTGACTGGCTGGCCGTGTCGTCTGCAGGATCCCGACTTGGCGACGAACCCCGGCGCGCCTGCCTTCCTGCTAAAGCTCAGCAACGACGACGAGCTCATGTTCACGTTTACCTTCAACGTCCGCCAGACACCGACGACGAGCCCCGACCCGAACAGTAATACCGTAGACACCCAGATTAACGGTCTAACATACGTCTACGCACCAACCTCCAGGGAGGTCGAGAATCTCGTCACGCGGGAATTCCATGCCGACCCTAACCTACACAAGAACTCCAACGTCGAGCTTATCGGCGACTTCACAACTGGTGGCAGCGGCTCTGTCACTTTCGACTGGGCTTGGAAGTGGAAACCACCGAGGAATTCCGAGGATTCAGGTGGTGGATGGAGGAATTCCTGCAGCGTATGTCCCAAGACCCATGCCGCAGCATCGACGCCCGTCTGACTTGCTCGCAGTTTGTGCAATACGACTCGCGCGCCCATGAGCTGCAGACCCTCGCCAGCTTCTCATTCTGGGTCCAGAGTATGTCCCCTGCCGGTCGCTACCCCTCCGGCCACGTCCTGACTGTGTACAGATACGTCGCCCTACCTCAGCCAGCCCAGCTCCCCGCCGCCCTTCCTACTGACCGTACCGCCGAGAAGCCGCGGTGCATCGTCCCAGTCCGTCGAGTCGAATAAGCACCCTCGAGATCGACGAACCTGCTTCCCCTACCGTCACAGCGCACGACACTATCAATGGAGTATCACCTTCGGCGACCACCATCGCCGTTCCAGTCGCTATTCCTCTCCCAGAACCCGTGAAGGTCGATGTATCTTGCCCGAGACCTAATGACGACGTATCCGCATCGGACGATGGCCCCGTCTTCCGCGCGACGATGAAGGCGCTGGAGCAAAAGACTGGGAACATGCGGACCCAGATGAAGCGCATGATCAAGAAGGCAGAGGCTGCCCACGCAGCACAGATCGAGGCAAACGATGCGCAAGTGGCCTTTGTCGAATCGCTCCGGGGCGCGTCCTCCACCAACGCCAACGCCGTCCAGCCGGCCATCGAGCACTATTTTGACAAGATTGCACGGGAGATCCTAAGCTACGAGAGGCAAAACACGCTCAACCTGCAGAAGATAGTGATCGAGCCGCTGAGCAAGTTGTATCAGATCGACATCAAACAAGCCGAGGCCAAGAAGCGGGACTTCGAGGAGGAAAGCAAGGACTTCTATGCCTACGTTGGTCGGTATCTCGGTCAGCGACACGATTCCGTCAAAGCCAAGCACAGCGACACCAAGTACCAGACGAAGCGGCGCAATTTCGAGCTCAAGCGCTTCGACTACTCGTCGTTTATGCAGGACCTATCAGGGGGCCGCAAGGAACAAGAAGTGTTATCACACCTCACTAGATATGCGGATGCCCAGGCCCGGGCTTACCTGCAGGCTTCCAAAAAGGTGGAAAGACTGCTCCCGCAGCTGGAGGCCCTGTCGAGCGAGGTTCAGGTGGCGGACAAGGAGTACCAGTACCAACGGCGAGAGCGCGAGGAAAAACGGAGGCTCCTCGAGAAGAGCAACCTCAACTACGTGGAGCCAGAGTCCATCCCCTCTTCGGTGTCGGGCAACGCCGCGAACGGGAACACATCCGACACAGAGATAAGCAGGGCGGACAGCACGGGCTCACAGCTCAAGTCGATCGCGATCAGCAGCTCAAACACACCAGCCCCTAGCACCGGTGACCTCTCCAGGTCCCCTGGCAGCCTGAGCCACGCCATGCTGGCCAGTCCGTCCCAGGGCTCAAAGTTCAAGGGAATCCGGGACCTGGAAGAGCGCGATACCACCCAGACCGAGACGGAATCGCAGAGGAAGGAAGGGCTCTTGTGGGCTTTGAACCGCCCTGGCGGACATGTCGACCCTCGCAACCTGAATAAGCAGGGTTGGCACAAGTATGTCACTCCTCTTGCAACCCATACCGCCTCTTTGCTGACGAACCCCGCAGGTTCTGGATTGTCCTGGACGGGGGCAAGCTCTCAGAGTATAGTAATTGGAAGCAAAGGCTCGACCTGCACATGGACCCCATCGATCTGCGCATGGCATCCGTGAGAGAAGCAAGGAACGCGGAGCGTCGTTTCTGTTTCGAAGTCATCACCCCGTACTTCAAGCGAGTCTACCAGGCGACGTCCGAGGAGGACATGAACAGCTGGATCACAGCCATCAACAACGCGCTGCAGAGCGCCGTCGAGCGGGGCCTGAAGGACCAGCCGGCACATTCCAGCACGCCGTCAAACGACTCCGGGTCCTTCAGGAGAGACATCGGGTCCATCCTGACAGGTAAGAGCCCATCGCTTGGCCACGCACAGGCACACCCGCCGTCATCAAACATGCCCGGCCGGCGGACGACCGTGGGTGCTCGGCCACAGACAGGGCGTGCCCCCAGCGGTGGCACCTTTGATGAGAGCCCTGACAAGCTGCTCCAAATGCTCCGCGACAACGACCAGGGGAACTGTTGGTGTGCTGATTGCGGCTCCGGGTCCAAGGTCGAATGGGTCTCCATCAACCTTGCCATCATCCTTTGTATCGAGTGCAGCGGAATCCACAGGTCATTAGGAACACACATCAGCAAGGTCCGATCGCTAACCCTGGACATCACGTCTTTCACGCCTGACATTGTCGAGCTGCTCCTGCTGGTGGGCAACCGTGTCTCCAATATGATCTGGGAGTCAAGGTTGGAGCCCGGCATGAAGCCCTCGCCTCAGGCGACCCGCGAGCAGAGGCTTCGCTTCATCACCTCAAAGTACGTGGACAGGGCTTTTGTCGAGCCAATCTCGGCAACACTGTCCAGATATCCCTCCCCCGATGACACGCTTCTCGCGGCCATCAAAAAGAACGAGATCCAGCAAGTCATCTATGCCCTCGCCCTCCGCGCCAACCCCAACGTCGCCGACAAGTCCCGCGGCACCCATCCCGTATTCCTTGCCCTCGCAGCCGCCGATCCCGCATCTCCAAGCCCGGCAGTCTCCCCTCAACCGCCACCGTCGGCTGACGCCAAGACCGTCCCATTTCCCATCGCCGAGATGCTCTTGCAGAATGGCGCTGAGGTCCCTACCGGGTTACCCGCGTTCCCGCTCAGCCGCAGTGCCCTGCAGTATCTCGACAACAAGCGGGGGAAGTCAACGCCCGGGTCGTTCCTGACGGGCACCACCGGTATCGACGGCGTGGGTAGCCTTCCCACCGGCAGCAGCAGCAGCGGGGCGAGTCCGCTGGCGTCTAAGGACAAGGAGGGCCGGATCGCGAAGCGGGCCAGTGCGGGTGGTAGGCTGGCCAAGTCACCCATTCCCGAGAGATAGGGCTGCTCTGTGCCGTTGACGTTCTGGCCGATCCATTTCCGCAGCAGCCACAGGGAGGGGTACCATGCGAGGAGGCTGTTGCAGCTATCATCTTCGTCGTGAGCCCCCTGTGGCTGTTCGTTTGTGTTTCCCTTCCCATGTTTTCTTTCGCCGGCGGCGACATTGGGAAAAATGTCTGCCCCCATCTTGTTATTATTGAATGTTTCGAAAGGGGGCCTCGTGTCACCCTTCTCGCCTGAAGCTTTGAGCATTGGGGATCTGGGTATCTGCGGTATTTACATTTTGAGTGCGGCGTCTTGGGGCAGAATCCAGCAAAGCATGAGAGCGTTGCGTCTCCCACCTTGAAGTCATGAGAGTGGTCCCGTCTGTTTGCATTTTCCGCGTTGCCCGTCGATTTGTCTCACAATCAACTATCTGTCGCGGGCGAGGTGAGCCCAGGGGTTGCGGAGAAGGTCATATATACACACAAACACAAACAGTCGTACATGACAGAAGGTAGTTTATGCGGTACGGGGATTTTGGGGAGGGCTCTCGGGAGGGGTGGGCTGCACCCACTCATAGGAAAGGAACATCAGAGCACGCATTTTGGAAAGTTCTGGATGGGCGGATGGACGGGCGGAAGGACGATGTGTACTACGATGATTCAGACGAAAGGTGACGATCATGACGACTACTACACTTTTCATCGGACTGGTTTGGTCGGTCGGTCGGTCGGTCATGAGGCAAGGCTGAGCAAGGGACGGGTAGTGTAAGGATAGGTCCTACTAGGTCTAATGGTAATACGGAATGAATGATCGAGAGCATCGATGCCTGCCACACTCGCCAGGTAAATACCTACATATTCAGTTGAGCATCACCAAACAGTGACCGTGCGGCTCACACTTGCCGAGCGGCCTCTTGAGCTCGCATCACAATACATTGAACAGGATGTGGCCAGACACATTCCCATCGACCAAATCATTAGTTAGGCCATGATTGTTTCACCGGTCTCCTTAGAGAGAGAGGTCCTATGTACTAATAGACACAACGTAGTTTGACCTCGACCCCATAACGCCGTGGCTTTTCCTAACAATTAACTGACTTGGCCAACGGAAGGCAGCGTCCTCCTCTGTTGCGTTCTGCCGCAAAACCTGCCTGCTGTCATTCCCGTTGCACATTCGAGACAATTTGAATCGTCCGACATCTCTGGAATGGCAGCTCATGGCCCCCTCGTCTCCTGAGTATCGCCGTGACTAGAATGCATCAATCGGCCCCCGTGAAAGTAGCAGCAAAATACGGATTTCCGTCCATAGATGAGCAAGTGGCGAAACACTAGGCGTACCAAAATCAAATCTCACCCCCTAGCAAGAAGAAATAGAAACCAGCCAAACACCACCGAACCAGGACCCCATTCCTCAGCAGTCGAAGTCCATCTCGAACGAACCACCCATCCAATCTCGCCGGAACCGCCCGGCAAGGCTGGTGACAGAAGGCCTAGCAGGAGAGGTAGGGATTTCGCAGTACTACTGCTTGTTTCCCTTGACCGCCTTCCCCTTCGCAGCTTCTGGCTTCACACCGTTGCCGTTCTTGGTCGCTATCAAAGCCGGACCCGGCTCCTCGGGGAGGTCATCCTTAGCGTAGTGACTGTTCGCATCATGGCCGAAGAGTGTTTCGTCACCCTTGCCACCCATCGCCGCGAACTCCTCCGGATTCCTATTGTCGAAGGGTCTGGGCTCCGCAACTGCCGGTCGACTGTTTTTCCTGTACACAGTGACGGGCTCCTTCCCATTGACACCAGGTACCTCTTTGACCCTGACCGAATTGATGCTGCTGAGTAAAGTGCGCTCCCGAGCGACACCACGGCGTTGAATGTCAAGGCCGCTGACACCGCCTACCAAGCCGTCGGTGCTGTCGTTCACACCAGGACCTTTGGCAGTCATCCATGGATGGTCCAGACATTGGTCCACCGTAAAACGCTTCTCCGGGTCGACTACAAGCATGGAGTCGATCAAATCAACTGCAGGCCTTGGTTAATCAAAGGAGAATGAGCTGGGGAGACAACTGTGTTTTCAGGACTTACGAGCAGGGTCGCCGACGGAGTCCCAGTATGGGGAGGGATAGTCGAACCTGCCACTCTTGATCTGCTGCGAGAGGGTGTACGGAAAGTCCTTTGAGTACAGCTCATCCGAGAAGGGCGGGAACCCGCAGAGGCAGATATACATCACAACTCCAAGCGACCAAATATCGACAGCTTTCGTATACTTTCTGTGTCTGGTGTCGGCAAGGATTTCCGGTGCAACATAGCTTGGCGTGCCACAGAGCGTGGTGGTGAACGACTCCTCGCCGATGATCTTGGCGAGGCCAAAATCCGCCAGCTTCACGTGAAGGTCTCGGTCCACCATCAGGATGTTTTCCGGCTTGATGTCCCGATGAACGATGTTTCGATCATGCTATCGCTCTGGTTAATACATGCGAAAACGGCAACATCGAGAGTGTCTTACCAAGTATTTGATGCCCTGAAACAGCTGAGTGAATAGCTTCCGTGTCTCGTCCTCGGTCAGCTTCTGCTTCATCACAATGTAGTTGAAAAGCTCTCCCTCCGCCGCAAGCTCGAGCACGAGGAAAACAGCATTCTTCTCGTTGAAAGTATCCTTCAGGCACAGCACGTTCGGATGGCTGACACCCATAAGGACAGCAATCTCCAGTTGTAGGCCTTCCGTTTTCGACTTCTCTTCTAGACCCGCAGTCTTTTTAAAGATCTTGACGGCATATCTCTTTCCGGTCGCCTTCTCGACGCACAGGAAAACCTCGGCAAAGTGACCTTTGCCAAGCTGCTCGAGTAAGGTGTACTGCTGGAGGAATGCGTTGCTCTGTCTGGCCCTGGGATACTTGAAGATGAAACGGGCCTTGTCCAGTACTGCTATCTCATCGCCTTCCTTCAGCTCTCGCCGTTTGTTCCGTCCGATGATCGCCTCGTTGACAAAGGTGCCGTTGCTTGACAAGTCCTCCACTATTGCAATAGTGTCATTGGCCTTGTGCTCTGTGAACAGCAAGCAGTGGCGATTCGAGACGCTGGGGTCATCCACGACGATATCTGAAGCAGATTAGCACCACCTCGCAAGGTATTCGCCTATGACTGCTGAAGACGTACCACACTCCGGGTGACGGCCGATTAGGTAGCCACCAGAGGGAGCATCGGCGATTTTGGTGTGCTCAAAGCTCTCCTCCTGCTGCTTCGGCGACTTTTTGCTTCCTTTCTTCTTCTGTGCGACATCGTTTAACACGTCTGACCTCGGACAAGCAGCCCTCTTCTTCAGCACCAGGCACTTGCCACCGTATTTCGTGTTGAGGGGGAACAGATAGCCCCAGACTCCTTCCTTGACCTCATCCTTGACCTCCTTGGAGTAGGGCTCGTTGGGGTCTATGACCTGCTGGGAGAATGCCTGGGTGTCCTGGGGCGGCGACGAGAAGCCCTGGACCTGGGAGTAAGTTTCCTGGCTCTTGGTGAGGACCTGGCTGGAGCGGCCCTCGGGCGGGGTGGCGGTCCCCTCCTTGAAGCGGGAGCTGCTCTCCTCGGGAGAAATGTGGGTTACAGGCGAGGGCAGCTGCTGCTTGGTGTCGACTGGTGTCTTGACCGAGAGCTGTTGCGACAGGCGCTCGGATCGGCGCGGTTTCTTGGACGAGTCAGGTTCGTGCTCTGCAGGCGAACCCTGGCAAAGGAAGCAAGCGAGTTAGTAATCTTGCCGAACAGCGCGGTGAGGAGGATCACTTTGTGAAGCCGCGCCAAGAAGGGCAGGCCTCGCAAGGACGTCTCCTGGGGGTGGACGGGCGTGCGGGCAGCGGGCGTGTAAGCCAGAAGTGGGACTCGGGGACCTACGGCAGCGCGCTTCAATTGGCTCTGCTCGGGACGGGGAGCCATGATTGTGCGCAGGCAATGGTGCGGCGGACAAGTGGAGGAGCCAGGGAGGAGCAGGCAAGAATGTTGCAATTCACGGTGAGAGGCGACGGTCGTGAGGTTCTGCCTGGAGGGCGGAGGAGAGTGGTAGTCACGGGCGGGCAAGGTGGGCAAGGTACGGAGCAGGCGAGGTGGGTTAGATGATGTCTGTTCGTGTCCGAGACGAGCCGCGGATGCGATTACAAAAAGCTTCCTACTCTTGGGGTTTTTAGCGTGCCTGTGTCGCCGCCTGGCCCTTCTTTCCTATGACGACCCCCTGCAAGTGCAAGTGCAGGCGCAGGCAGGAAGGAGCAGGTGCGGGTTCAGGCCCAGGTGCAGGTGCAGGCCCAGGTGCGCAGGGTGAGCAGTCGTCCCAGGCAGGTCCCGCCCAGGCAGGGTCCGAGGGTCAACTGGTGTGTTGAGCCTCCGGTTTCTCAGCTGACTGACATGATCGATCTGAGCACCTGGCAGCTGGGTATCAGGCTCGAGGATCGAGCCTCGAGCAGAGTGGACTGGGACGCGTCGCCTGTCTGCAAGTCGACTGGTTCGCCAATCAGTCCCGCCTGAAACATAGATATTGTGACTCGATGCCGACTCGGCCTTGGGGCATGGGCACGGGTGTCCTCCAGCTTTCTTGCAATCATATCTCTCTGCCTGTTTCCTCCTCGTGCAGCAGCTGGAAGTAGACTATGTCTGGAGCATGCGAGAGCGAGCCTCTCAGTCAGTCATCCCGACCAGATACTGTTAGAGTTGCCCCCCCCCCCCGGCGCCTCGCAAGTATCGATCGGATGACTCTTCCTACTCAACCCCGGTACGAAGGAGGTGCCAGCACCCTTGTATGCGGCAGGATACCACTCTCCGTTGCTGTTGGGTATCTGTCCAGAAATTGGACGACATTTCCTGCAGTCTGTCGACACTGGTCCTTGTAAAGGAGAACAGGACCTAACAGGGTCATCTGAGGGCGCCTAAACATGTACAGCTGAAACCCATGGTCTGTGGCAGAACAAGCAATCTGGCAAAAGCGTCACGAGTTGATGGCCCAGCCAGCCAACATGAACTTGGAAATACTCTTGAATCCCTCCTTCCATCGATGCCCCTTGTTCCCAATACAAGTTCGGCCGTGGGCGTGGCACGTGTGGCTTAAGAGACTCAGCAAAGATGGGGTTTTTTCACCTTCGAGGGGAGGAGGGATAAGGGTCGCATAGCCTGCCTGCCCGGCCTTTAGTTACCTAGTACGGGGGAATGGGCAAGTGCCTGTGCAAACCATCATGGTCCAGGAACGAGGTGAGGTCTGCTGGGCGGATGGGTCAGGTACGGCACCAGAGTGACCGGTGGGATGGGCGGAGCGAGCAGCTGGACTTCTGGGAAGCAAACGGGTGCGCCACAGAGACGTCCTGCCCCTCGCATGCCCACCTCTACTCTACCTTCCATGATGTTCAAGTGACCCCCTCTTTCTCTGTGGTCTGAGCTCCTGATCCCTGCCTAGCGCGCTTTTCAAGCCACATGCCACAAAACGTCCTTGCTGAATTTTCTGGCAAGTGCGGCGTGCTGATTGCCCAAAAACCGGGGACCTTGAGCCTACGCCTGAGCCTCAGCTTGAGCCTGAGCCTGATTGCGAGCGAGCGCGCCAGTGGGGTCTCCCAATCCGAGGGTGAAAGAAATCTCTCCGTCTGCATCAACCAGCGTCCAAGACGTCTCCGGGTCGACATCCCGCCTTTCTGCCCACACTCACTGCCCCTCCCCTGTCCGAGACCAGGCGCCATACTCTCCCCGGAGAAAGAGAAGAGAAGAGTGAGGAAAAAGTCACCGAAAGCAAGACACCCAACATGGCGCCCCGTGGCCTGGTCTTCGTCGATGGGAGCAGCAGCGACGTCCTGCAGGAAGTCGCCGACTACATCAAGATTGGCGATGAGATCCGACCCCTGCTCGAGAAGAACCAGACCGAAGACGCCATCACGGCCATCGTCAAGGCCTCCTCCGTCCTGAACTCGGCCCCCGAGAAGGAGTTCGGACCCGCCTACAATCTGCTCATCTTTGCCGTCATCAACCACTCGAAAGAACCCAAGAAGCACCTGCCCCAGATCTGCCAGAACCTCACGAAACCAATCACCTCCTCCCCCATCAACGGCCGCGATCTCGCCCTCGGCAGCCTGTCTACCATCTTCAACCTCCTCGCCAAGGATGACCCCATACGATTTAATGTCTTGTTCCAGATCGTCCGCTTCGTCAAGGCCAACAACCTTTTCGACACCATCAAGCCCGCACTGAAGAACGTCCCCGGCTGGCTCGAGGCCTGGGACACGGACGAAGAGGATAGGCAGCGGCTGTACGTCGAGATCGCCGACGCAGCAGAGGCCGCCGACGAGAACAAGATCGCATACGAGCACCTCCTGCAGGCACTGCAAACCTTCGACGCCGATGACAAGGACGACATCGCCTCCGAGGAGGCTCAGAAGCTCTCCCTGCGCGCCCTCAAGATGGTCCTCGTCATCGACCGGCCGTGGGCCTACGACTTCCAGGGCCTGCGCGTCCTGGCCCCCGTCCAGGCCCTCGCCGACTCCCACCCCGTCTACGCACAGCTCCTTGACATCTTCGCCGAGCAGGACCTTGAGGACTTCAACGACTTCAACGACGAGCACGATGGCTTCCTCGAGAAGGAGAAACTGGATTATAAGACCCTGCAGACCAAGATGCGCCTCCTGACCTTTGCCAGCCTGGCGGCGTCCCAGCAGGAGCGCGAGATACCCTACGGCGTCATCGCCAAGGGCCTGCAGGTGCCGTCGGAGGAGGTGGAGCACTGGATTATCGACGTCATCCGCTCGCAGCTGGTCGAGGGCCGCATGTCGCAGAGGGAGAAGGTATTCAAGGTGCACAAGACCATCTACCGCGTGTTCGGCGACAAGCAATGGCGGGAGCTGCAATCGCGCATCGACGTCTGGAAGACGACCCTCAACAACGTCCACGGCGTCCTGAGGGCCCAGCAGCAGGAGGCCGAGAAGCAGAAGGAGAGGCAGCAACAGGAGCTGGAGAAGAAGCTGGCAGGAGTTGGATTCAGCGACGGCCCCAACCGCGGAGGCCGCCGGCAGCAGCAAAGAACCGATAACGATGACTAGACCACCACAACCGAGCACGATGTCATGTCCGAATCATGCCCAAGCCATGTCTGAGGGAGGTGAATCCCTAGCGGAACGCCCCATCTTCTCAAAAGAGATGAATCATCCAGGGAAAGCCCTCGCGGCCCCGCCAGGATTTGCCAGGCGTTGGGAGGATAGAGCACAGGGGAACAATGCTTCGGAATAAAAAACTGCATTTTCGATCCATTTTGTCGTCCCGCTGCCAGTGTTTCCCGATTGTACGTGCCGTGACCGTGGCGGCTTTGTTCTATGTTGTATCTTGGTAGTGTTTCTGGGCTGTATATCTATTGTCCGGATCCCATCATCAAACGCCCATTGTATCTCCTCGGCCCTCCTTCCCCCAGACAGCCAGCCTTCCAGCCCGCTGCCAGCTCAGAAGTCCGCGCCCAGCCTCTCCCTGATGGCTGCCTTGGTGTGCTCGGCGACCTCCTCGGGGGTGGGCGTGGCGTCGATCTTGACGACGCGGCCCTGCTTCTCGTAGTACTCGACAACGGGCATGCTGGTCTCGACAAAGGTGCGGAAGCGCTTGCGGATGCTCTCCTCGTTGTCGTCGGCGCGGCCGCTGGTCTTGCCGCGCTCGAGCAGGCGCGACTCCATGACGGCCTCCGGGCAGTCGTAGAAGAGCACGAACTCGGCCGCGCAGACCGACTCCTCGAACTTGAGGGCCTGGTCCAGCTTGCGCGGGAAGCCGTCGATCAGGAACCGGCGGCCCTTGGCGCTCGTGGGCTGCCCCGCGATCTTGTCCTTCATCGCGTTCTCCAGCAGCGCGATCGTCACCTCCATCGGCACGATCTTGCCGTCCTTGATGTAGTCCTTGATCAGCTGCCCGTACTCGGACCCCTCCCGGTCCTGCTCCTCCCGCAGCAGGTCACCCGCCGACAGGTGCGTGAAGCCGTACGTCGAGACCAGCTTGGAGCACTGGGTGCCCTTGCCGGCGCCGGGGCCTGTAGCGAGAGGGTTTGGGTTAGTGATCTTGTCCGGACCTGGGCGTTGGGGGCTTTGCCATAGCCCAGGCAAGGGTGGGTGGACTGACCGCCAAGGACGAAGAGGACTGTCGTGTCGGTGATAGGCATTGTTCACGAGTGACCTTTGTGGTTATAGGGTGGGAAGGAGGTATCAGAGGCGTCTGACGTGAAGTTGATGTGTTCCTGGAGCTGAAGGAGAGGATACGGAGGGTAGAAGAGCCGAAGGGGGGACGACTCGGTGCAGGAGTCCCTGGATCTTGTGAAGCCAGCTTCCAAGGTCGGCCGGTAGTGACGTGGGGCAGCTTTCAGGGGTCTCGCCCTTCAGGACTGGAGCTCAAAAGGGTCGAGAACAAAGAGCTTGCTGGTCCGTGCTCGACGACAGACGGGATGGAACGGTTCTGACCCTCCAATATCGAAACGTGCCAACATCTAATCCACAATGCGCCGGTATTAAAAGCTTCTGTTTTGGTCCCTGTTTGCGCCCTACCGTACAGCTGCTGGTTATTTTCCGCCCGGGCCCCCAACGTTCGTGAGACCGTGCTGTGACAGAACGCATGGTAGCACTTCCCTGTCCTGAGTTCTACCTGCCTGTATGCCCCGCAACCAACACTGCCGATCTTGGCTGGCTTATCGAGGCGAATATTGACACTCGAGGTGTGCACAATGCACACAAAGTCATGCTCTACCAGCTCTTCTCAATTGTTGTCTTGTTTCAAGTCTTAGATTTCCATGGATCTGGCGCATTCCGCATGTGTCTTGTCCATGCGGGCAGCGATTTGAAGATCGAAAATCCCAGGACGTATATTATGGATCAGACCCAGACATCGGTCCCTCGGTCAAGTCACTCATTGCAGCAAGTATCTATGTGATCACTGGGTGTTACATAAGACTACAAAATCCGAGATCGTATCACATCAGCACGGTTCTGAGCGCGCTTGTTGTTCTTCAAGTGAAGAAACGTGCTCGTCATTCTTTCTAGACCGAAACAGTCAAATAATCCTACTTGTACAAAGTAGTCTCAATTTCCACCTCTCCGCACACATTACCAAAAGAACGGCATGTCTGTTCCTCTCAAAAGTTATTTGCCCAGTCCCCAAGAAAACGCCGGTGGTATAGGTTCAGGCAGCCCGGCTCAACGCAGCTGCTTGGTAGACAAAGAAGATCGATCATTCATATATATAGACAATTAGAAACCCCGCTTCCCCGCAAACAGTGCTCCCCAGCATATTACCTCAGGTTGAATGTCGTCTGAACCGGTGGTGGGCTCTTGACGGCCTGGCCGGCATACGCACCGGGAATCGGCACGCTCTCATACACGGGCTCGTCCGCCGACGCAGGCCCATGGCCGTGCTCGTTGACGGTGATCGAGGGTACATTCGGTGGCGGTGTCGACGAGCTTGGCCATGAGGTGGGGCTGGGGCCCTCAACCGGCGAGAATGACTCCTTAGCACTGGTCTTGGGGGTGGCACTGGGTGCCTTCACAGGAGGTGCCTGGAGCTTGAAGGGCTTGTCGGCCTGCGGGGCGAATGTGCTTGCCGGCTCGGGGATGTGCTTTCCGCCGGGTGTGAATGGGTTCCCCTCCTCGATGTCGCCAAGGGAGCGGAAGGCGGCCGAGGGTGGGAGGCGTGGGGACATGGTGTGCTGGGAGTACATGCCCGGTGACTTGGGCCCGTAAACGGAGGCGAAGCCGGGAGACTTGGGTCCGAAGCCCGGGGTGTTGGGGGCGGACTGGGACCGGAGCTGTGCGAGGTAGAGGTCGGAGCGGGCCTTGTCGCGCATGTCCATGGACTTCATGAGCTTTCTCTTGGTGTGGTAACGGTAGAAGACGACCGAGTACAGGGTGATGGAGATGACCTCGATGACGACTTCGATGATCATGCAGATGAGAGACCAGTTCTACTCAACGGTTAGCCACGGTCCATACCCTGGGCGTCGGAGACGCCAGACGATCTCGTCTTACCTGAAGCCTGCAAACGAGCGCGTAGTCGACCTGGTTGGAGAAAAGCTGCGACCGGGTGTTCTTGACGCACGACCATCCCCACATGTCCTTGTTGTTGCTGTTGTTCCTCGAGTTCTGCAGGACGGCAATGGCGAGGACCCACATGATCATGCTCACGATGAACCAACCAACGGCGAAGAGCGTGTAGTAGACCCCGACCTTCTCGGCCCTCCTGTGGCCACCACGGCAGTATCCAACAAAGACGAGGATGCAGATAAGCAGAGACAAGCACGATGCTGCGAGTACGAGGCATTGCGGCCAGATGCTGGTGCCCGTTGCCCAGGCTGGTAGGTTGTTCTGGGCTGGGAGCGCCTTGGTGGCGTTGAAGATGGCGAATGAGGTTCCGAGCATGGCCATCACAATCAGACTGCAGCTGAAGTTGACGCTCCGCAGTGCCACCTTTGCAAGCCGTACGCGGGTCTTGATTTTCTGTCGAGAGAGTTAGCTCGGCATTCGGGTCCGCTGTTGAGGTGAGAGGCACATACAAGGTCCTTGGCTTGCTCCTTCTCCGTCGACTCCTCCCTCTTCTCCAGCATCTGCTCTTCCCTAAAGGTAGGGCTGAGGGGGTTCAGACCCCGGCCTGGAGTTCCGGGTGCCTTCATGGCACTCTTGAGCGGTGACCTTGGGCTCATCGGTACGGCTGCGGATTCCCTGTTGTTGCTGATGTACCCAAACCCAATATCGCCCGGCTGTGACTGGGGGACCACATTCCTGTCTCCAAACCCGTTGCCTGTCGACTCGACGGGAGAGTGGATGCTGGTCGCCTCGGCAAATCGTGGCGTCCTTGGCGGCTTGCCTATTGATGACGTGGAGGAGGAAGAATCCGTGGATGACGACCGCACGGGTTGAAGGTTGAGAGCGGCAGGCCGCTTCCTGTCGTCGTTGATCGCCATTGTGACGCGGGACTGAGCGACGATGCCAGCAGTGAAAGGAATAACAAGATCGTAGTCCTGGTGGGGATGACGACGCTTAGAAGGGAAGAAAGGTGCTTGTCTACTTTGTTTGGTGGAGCAAGGAGTCGGACAAGGCAAAGGAAATAGAAAGAGATGTGGATGAGGCCAGCTGTCGAGGACGAAAAGTCCAAGGCCCGGCCTGAAGGGGAGGGCAATGGTTTTCAGTAGCCGCTGGCCACGAGGAGGGTCGATTTCATTCGACCCTCGTGGGAGTACCGGGAAGTTAAGTGGCCTGCATGGGGGTGTCAGCACATGTTGTATGTAGGTCAGGTAGGACGATCAAGCAGCGGGCGAGGTTCCATACGCAGGACTGGGGTACACGACATCCGTCAGCAGCCGGAGAGCTGATAGGGCAACGGGGTCAAGGTGCCAATGTAAGCCGGCGATTCGTGATGGAAATAGACGCCCAGCAGGGTGGTCAAGGTGTCAAGGTGGCGCCGGGGCTGGGAGACTCGAGACCGCGGGATAGATGTGCCCGTGAGGGTGGAGTATCAGATCCGATGTTGCTCCAGGCGCGAAGGCGAATGAGCTTCCCCGGGACCTACAGAGATGGGTCTCACACGGTCGAATTGGTGGTCGGAGAGGAGGAGGATGGAGATGAAGGCCAGCACGAGGAGACTCGGGAGACTCGAGAAGCTCTCGAGTAGACAAGACGAAGAGGGGATGGGTAGGGTAGGGTACATGTACGGGACGCAGGCGAGTCCACAGCACCACCAGCAGCACCACAATAGAACAGAAGAACAATACCATTCAAGAGAGCCGTGTGGTATCGGGGCTGCTGAAAATATCACAGCGCCCCCTCCCATCCGCCTCCCCCCTCTCACCTCTGGTGCTGGTCCCCCAGACAAGGCGGGAAGACGCAGCCGAGGCGACTCGAGCGACAGGAATTGGCGCCATGAGGGACCTTGTCGTCTCCCGAGCTTGCATTGCTGGGGCAGAGGGAGGAGGACGAGGACCAGGAAGAGCACTTGATTGGCCTGGGCGGGGGCAGACTCCCCACTTGCCATTCTGCCAGATTGGTGATCAACGTACCCGAGCAGCCAACGCGGGCACCTGGTTGGGTGGCCGGCGGGACATGCAGCTTCTTGGTTGGCGACCCGGGCGGCTACGTGACCGCGAGAAGGGCGCCGATGGAGACGTTGGAGCTCGAGGGCCCCGGTCGAGCCTGCCCGTCCGTCCACCCATCACACCTTCCTCCCGCGCCGTTCAAGGATGAGGTGTGCTACCCCTGTCGGCAGCCACCCCCGCCTGTGTCGTCCCCGGCGCCCAATTGGCTGCCCACGATCGACGTCCTGGAAACGGCCGCCCAATCAGCGCGCGGGAGCGTGTGATTCTCGCCCGGCGCATCTGCAGCCTGCAGGCGCCTTGCAACCCTCGGCGGCAAGCCATTTCAATTTCACCTCCTGGCCCTCACCTGGCCTCCTCGTGCCAGCCCGGCCAGCCCAGCCGGTCTGGCTCCAACTGACTGCCTCGTGGCTTGACAAAGGCCTTGTCTTGGCGGAAACCATCACTTGGACTGACTGATTGTTCCCGTTCGATGGCGTCGCACAAGCCCAAGCACAAGCCCAAGCACAGGCACAGGCACAGGCACAGGCACAGGCACAGGCACACCCCGTTGGATCGCCGTCCCCCAGTGGAGGTCAGTCACACTGCGGGGCCAAATCTCAACCTGTCAGCTCCTGCGCTCGCTCCCTCTCTCTTGCCTTGGGGATCTCGACAGCCGAGTTTATTTCTGTCTTCTTTCCAAGGCGTTTGACTCTATGAGTTGGGACATCATGTCCGACATGGAAGGAAGGCCCTTGATAGGCCGAGGAAGGGGGCGGTCAGATAGGAGCGATGCCCATCTGGTTCCCAGTAAGCACCGCGTGCCTTGATTCGTCGCCGCCGCCGACATGAGACCTGCCATTGTCTATGGGCGGTAAATATAGTCGGCCTAGTGCCGGTGTTGCAGCTGTAGCGGCGCTCGGGAACAGATGTGGTGTACAAATGCGACCTGGCCAAGAGACCATGGTTGTCTGACTGCTTCTACTACAGCACACCCACCTTTGTGATTAACGGTTTTAGCCTCGGGCGGGCCCTAATAATAGCTCAGTCCTTCTGCTCGCACCTCGACAACCTTCGCTATTCGGAGGACCAGTCATCAATTACCGAGTTTCCATCCATCCGGCGGCACAGCAATCGTGCTTCAGAACTCTCCTCCCCAGTTCACAGACATGGTCTACATCTGGTTGCGGTGCATACACACGTCCCCTTGGAATTCCCTATTTTGGTGCTAGCAGACTGCTGTGGCACATTAGATTCAGACTCCGTGGGTTCATCTCACTGTTCGAGATACCCGAGCCAGCGTCCGGGTTCCTCGTCGCATGTATTGAAGTTTTGGTACAAGGTCGTGAGGCTCAAGAAAGCCGTGCCGCTGAAATGCCGGCTGTCGCTCAGTCTTCTGCTGATGGATGCCATACTTGGAGAGAACATGGACCGATCCGTAGGCTCCGGGACGCCTCTCAACGCCAGATGCTATGAACCGTTCACGCATATCCTGTTTGTCCTGAGAGAGTTGCCTTGGCCGACAACTCAACGGAGTGGGCTTGTTCATGTCCTTTGGCAGGCCGTCTCCCTGGGAACATCATTGAGCACCAGCCGACTCCAACTCACCAACACTAGTAACGATGATTAGCGATGGTTCTGGCGGTGTTGCGAGTAGTGCTGGTTCCCCGTCCCCTACAACGGAACAGCTAACGCCCCGGGCGCCTGCAGCTGCTCTGAAGACGGGGCGCATCGGCCGGCCGGCTCACTCCCGGCCGACTCCGCTATGCCGTGCTTAGCCCCATCGCCTGTCTGCTTAAAGCAAGGCATGTCTGGCGCCTCCCGGCGATCCACGCTCATATTTGTCCATACAGCACCGTCCAAGGGCCTCATCGCACATTCACGGCCTCCGGAAACCAGCTCATCATCCCGCAGACGGCCACCGTTTCCCTCGAAGCGCTCACCAGGGAAACACAGCAGCAGCGCAGCGAAGACGTGACCCCACGGGAGGAGCCCGGCGACGCCTTCGAATCAGGCCAAGGCCCTCATCTCGAGTTCTCTCTGCCTCCAGTCGACACCGGCAAGGACGCGTGGCTCTTCCTGGCCGCCTGCTTTCGTCATCGAGGCGCTGGTCTGGGGTGAGCATGTCTCTGTACAGGCCGTGTTGCACATCCCAAGCTAATATGCCACCAGGTTTTCCCTTCTCCTTCGGCATCTTCCAGAAGTACTACAGCAGTCATGAGCCCTTCAGAGGGTCCGGCAACATCGCCATCGTTGGCACCTGCACCTCCGGCATCATGTACCTCTCTGGGCTGCCCGCCCTCGTCCTGAATCGCATGTACCCTAGGCTGGGCCGCTGGTCGCCCATGGTCGGGCTGCTGATCATGTGCCTGTCGCTGGCCCTCAGCTCCTTCTCCACGACGGTCACGCAGCTCATCGCGACCCAGGGCGTGCTTTATGCGATCGGTGGCTCCATCGGCTACCTGCCCTGCCGACGCCCTCAAGGCCGGCCCCTTCCCGTCCGCCCTGACTGCTCTGCTTGTCAACGTCTCGTCCGTGGCTGGGTGTGTGGGGCTAGGGTTCCTTATCGACCGTCTGCATGTCACGACGTGCATACTTGCCTGCACCATCGGCGCGACGGTGGGTCCCTTCCTGCTGTGGGGGTTTGCAGTCAATCTTCCCGTGCTGTACATCTTCTGTATTCTGTACGGCATCTCTGCCGGCTCCTTCACGACGACGTGGACGGGAATCATGAGGGAGGTGTCGTCGAGGTACAATGCTGGTACCGCTGTTGCACGCACATCCCTAACCCTGGTTTGCAACCACTTTCTGAAATGCTTAAATAGCCAGATTTCTTTTATTTCCTCTTTTTAAACTACTTTTAAGAGATAAATGCTTTTATAATTATGCTTTTAAACCCTTATAACATTTATAACCATTTATAATTATAAGCTTAATTTACATAAAATAGTCTTTTCTTTTTATAAGTTATAAATAAATTATATAAAATATATTTTAATTATATTTATTTTATATTATTTATTTTTTTTAAATATATACTTATATAATAAATATAAATATTTTTTTAAACCTTATTAATTAAATAATTTATTTAAATACTTATTTTTTTTTTCTTTTAAAAGGGTTGCGGAGAAAACGCAGCAAATACTTAGCTACTTATCCTTAACCATATCAATAATTTTATTTAAATAAGCAATAATAAGAGTTGGAAACTTTGCATTAAAGGTTTTAAAAACATTGCCATTATTCTTAATATAAATAAACTTGCTATAAACTTAATGCAGGTTATTAAAAAGGCATAACTTGCAATAATATTATGGGCTGGCCTTAAACTTGCAGAATAAAGGTGCTTAAATGGAGTTAATATTTAAAGTGCAAAGGAGAAGGTTTACTTTCCATTTGCATTTACGCTAAAGCCTATTCTTATAAGGCTAAAGCCCGCTAATTAATCACTATAAGCATAAGCCTAAACCATAATATATTCTCTTTCCCTAAGTTAAAGCTGCAAAGAGGCCTTCCTAAGGGGTTAACTATATAATAAAAAATAAAAAAGGCACTGCTTTAATCACAAATTAAATATTGCTTTTTGCCTAGCTATTTAATTAACTCATAGCGTTTTAACTGCATTACTAAGCCGGCCCATATTATATATATATTTTCATCCTTTCCATACTTTATAATTCAATATGCTAGCTAAAGCAAGCTAATAAAAAATAATTATTTAAGCATAAGCTAGCGGCTAAGCTAATGGCATTCCTAAGATCCTCTAATTTATACCTTTTATATAAGCTCCCTTACTTAAAGCCTTAAGGCTGCGAATTTATTATATAACCTATAATTAATTAGCGTTTAATTATAAATAATTTGCTTTATTAGCAAAAAGTTCTTAGGCCTTAAAAGTTTTATAGCGCTAAACTAATTAACATTAGCTAGCCCGCTTTAAGCCTAGGTTAGCATTAAGCTAGCATTGCTTTAAGCCCTACCCCATAAAAAAAAATTTATATGCTAAAAATAACCTTAATTAAGCGCCTCCTTCTTGCTAAGCCTAATTAATAATAGCTATATATAGGTTCTTCCATAGCGATTTAAGCAGTTATGCTTATAATAATTAAGCTAGCTATAAGCATAATACTTAACTCCCCCTATTAAGATTGCCATAATATTAATATTCATTGCTTTGCTATTTTAAGGTTAAGTATTATTTTCCGCTATTATAGCGCTAAAAACACCCTTATATTACCATAAGGCAAAGCAAAATGCCTTAAATATCTTTAGCCACTCCTTGTAATTAAGTTTTAACTTTATTAAGATAGCAAGTTTATTGGCTATAAATAATATTTTATAATTATTTAGCTAAGCTTAAGCTTTAGCTATATAAAAAAGTTAATTAAAGCAAGTAAGAAAATCTGCTATCCCTTCCCCATGGCATTATTATAATGCAATTAAGCTAAGCCCAGCATGCCTTTACTTAAAAAAATCCCTAAATATAAGGCAAACCCTTTCTAAGAAGCTCTCCAGCTACCCCTTAAATATCTTTATAGAATTAATATAGGGTAGAAATTAATTACGAAAAATTCCTAACCAACTAAATATATAAAAAAACTAAGCCCCTTTAATGCTAATTACCTCCCCATTCATTATAAACTTAGCTCTTATTTCCACTAGCTAAATTACTAAACTTTCCTAAGATAAGAGCTCCTTAAGATAAGGAAGGGCTTAGCGGGCTGCCATTATTTCTTTTAAATTTTATTATACTAGGTTTTATATAATTGCATTATAGGTTTATAATATAAAAGGACTTTAAATATATATTATAGGCTAGCCTTAAACTTGCAAAATAAAGGTGCCTAAATGGAGTTAATATTTAAAGTACAAAGGAAAAGGTTTACTTCCTATCTATACCCGCGCCAAAGCCTATTCTTATAGGGCTAAAGCCTGCTAACTAATCACTATGGGCACAAGCCTAAACCATAACAAATAAATATAATTAAGGAAAACACGGTTCTTTATAATTTTATTATAAACCTTCTTAATAATATTAAGAACCTTTTAAAGGTTTGGTTTATTAATATTTTTAAAGGCTATAAAGGGCTTGCAAATAATAACCTAAGATATTTTAATAATTATAAGCTTTATTTTATTAAATTTAAACTTATTAATTATGCATAAGTATTTATTAAGGAAAGAATAATAATAATTATTTAATTGCGAATATTAATTAAGGTTATAAAAGTAAAGCAAAGAATATTTATAAAGGTTATAATATTAATAACGCTATTAAAGCTTTTAATTTTAAAGGTTAAGCATAAAGCGCGAATAATATTAAAGAAAGCTGCATTAATTTTAAGGGTAAAGGCTTTAATATAAATTTATAAAAAAGTTAGTAATAAGTTATAAAAAGATATTAAAAAGATTTTATAATAATGTAATTTCCTTAATAATTTCCCTTATAATATTAATAGCAGCTTTTTACTTTTCTTTTTACTTAAATAATTAATAATGGGATTATAAAAGAAATATAATAAGGTTATAAAAATATATTTATAGCTTAAATATAAAGAGTTATAATAAAATAGCTATAATTAATATAATGCTTAATATAAATATAATAAAAATAAATATTATTTAAAATATAACGTTAAATAGCAATAATAGTTAGGAAATAATTAATAATTATAATAAATTTATTAAAAATTTGCTTTAATATTTTAAAGATTTAAGTATAAATTAAGATATAATTAAGCTTAGTTATATTTATAAATATTACTTTAAAGGCCTTAAGAAAAATTATAATAAAATTATTAATAATGCTTTTTATAATAATTAAGGTAATGCCCTTAAAGCTAAATTTCTTAAGGGTTATAATATTAATATAGCAATGCTTTTAAAAAAATATTAAAATTACTTAAAAATTATTATTATTATTATTAATTCCATTAAAAAACTTAATAAGGTTGCTAAAGGTTATAAAGTAAAAATAAAAATATTAATTTAAGGTTTTAATTATATTTTTAATATTATTTAATATAATAAAGATTATAAAGAGGTTATAAAGATAATAATAAGGGTATAAAGCTAAGAAATATTAAGGAGAAGCTATAAAGAAATTATAATGTTATTATAAAGTACTTAGATATTTCATAAGGTGTTATGGGTTGGCCTTGAGCGTCTGCTGGAAGGTACCCAAAAGGAGTTATAAATTGCAATATCTCAGAAGTAAGTTAGGCCCTGAAAGGGCCCAACTCTGGATCTATCTTTTAAGTGTGTGTGCCCCATCACGTGAGAGGGTTGGGTGCAGTGTGGGCCCGGCACGGTCATGCATTACGGCTTGGGCAATAGCCCAAGCCCATCACATAAGGTTATTAATAGCTAAGGACTTACTTAAAAAATAATATATTATTAAAGGAAAAAGGAGGAGAAATAAGTAAAGGGTTATAGCTATTTATACTCCTTAGCTTAAATTTTATTATTTATATAAATAGTTTTTTATTGCTTTTTTATTTAAGAAATAATAAATAAGTAAGTTAAAAACTTTATAAAAAGGTTATAAGGTAAAAGGAAAAATTTCCCTTTTTAAGGATTTTTAAGTATAAATATAATGTTTATATTACTTAATGCAGCATAGATAAATAGCTGCATTATTATAAAAAGGTTGCAGCATAAAGGTTTTTTTTATCTATTTAGCATGGTTTTTCCCTATAAGTAAATTAATAAAGAAACTGTATATTAAATGGTTTTTAGCTATTAATAGCTTAAAATAATATAAATAAATTATTATTATTATTATTATTATTATTATTATTATTATTATTGTTTTTCTTATTTAATTTATTATATTATAATTTTATTATTAAATTAAGAAATATTAAAAATTCATAAACCTTAATATATAAAATATAATTTTTATTAAATAATTAAATATAATTTTAAAATTAAATTTTTAATTTATATAATTGTAATGGGCTTGGGCTGTTGCCCAAGCCTTATATAGTGTGGCTAGATAATCCAAGGGAGCTTGGATTATTACGTACCTTTTGGCTTAGATAGCTATAAGGTTGCTAGCAAAACTAGCTTATGAAAGAAGGCGCTAGCCAGCCTGCAGCCCCTTTGGGGCCAGCCCATAACAAATAATCCAAGCTCTAGGGTCGAGAGTTCAAGTCATGGTCTCACCCAACCATAAAGAAAATCTCTGGCTTGAAAAGGCGATGTCGCGGGTAAGCCTTGGGGGTAATTGTACCACTATATTAAGGGGGTCCTGGGGGAAGGGGCTATGTAATGGGCTTGGGCTGTTGCCCAAGCCTTATATAGTGTGGCTAGATAATCCAAGAGAGCTTGGATTATTACGTACCTTTTGGCTTAGATAGCTATAAGGTTGCTAGCAAAACTAGCTTATGGAAGAAGGCGCTAGCCAGCCTGCAGCCCCTTTGGGGCCAGCCCATAACAATATTATATAAAAAAAAGAAATATTTAAAAAGCTTTATATAATAAATATTAAAAGTATTTAAATAAAAATAAGCTTTTAAAAAATAAAATAATACTTATTTTATTTTATTTTTTTATCTTTTAATAAATTAAAAAAAATATAATTAATATTTTTAATAATAAGTTGCTTTAATCTTTAATAAGGTGATTAAATTTAATAAAAAATAAAAAATTTAAAAATAAATTTAAAAAATAATATTTAACTTAATTTTCTTTTTATATTAAATTAAAATAATAAATTTAAAATAATTTTTTATTTTATAAATAATTTAAAATATTAAAAATAACCTTATATCCTTTAAATTAAATTAAATATTAAGTTATAATAATAATATTAAAATTAAGAAATTTATTAATTTAAGTAACTTTTTATAAATAATTATAATATATATTATTCTTAATTAAATAATTTTTAAATATAAAAAACTTATTAAATAAAATATATTAAAAAATTTAATTTATTTTTTAAAAACCTTATTTAAAGAATTAATAATATTTTTATATTATAATAAACTTATATTAATATTTAAAAATATTATAATATTTATTATATAAAAATTAAAAGTATTTTTTAAAATAAAAAGTAATTAATTAAGAAAGTAATTAAGAAATAAAAATTTATTATCTTAATTATATTAATAAATAAAAATATATAAATACTTTTATTAAAAAATTAATTAATAAAAAAATATACTTAACTTTTTATTAATTATTATTACCTTTATTTTATACTTTTAAGGAAATAAATTTTAAATTTCAAAATACTTTAAAAAAAACTTATATATAATAGAATTAAAATATAATTATAAGAAAATTATTATAAAAACTTAATTTAAAAGCTTATTTAATATAACAGCTATTATAAGGGCAATGCATTGCAAGTATTACCAGCAAGGCGCATAAGCCTTATAAGTTATATATTAATTAAATAAGGCATGCAAAGCCCTTAAATAGCCCTTATTAAGGACCCTTAAATTAAAGTTAATTAAGCCTTATACTTATTATTTAATTATACCTTAAAGTAACCGCTATAAATAATAATTATAACTTTATATTATAAAGAAAATATTTTTTAATTATTTAATGCCTTTTTAATATAAAGAATATAATATATAAGTAATTAAATTATAAGGATAAAAATTAAAATTAATAAATATTAATAAATCCCTAGAAATAAATTAACTTAAGCAAAGCTTTATTATAATATTAATATTGCTTTATAATATAATCCTTAATTTATAAATATAATTATAATTATTATTAATAATAGTTTTTAACTATATTATAA